CCGAAAATGGCGCAATAACGAGTATTGAACATTAAAAAATTAATTTAATTTTAAATGGACCCCTTTTCCACATAGGAGTAGTAGGTACTTATTGTTTTGAAGCCTAATTATTATGAGGCGCCGTTTGTATCATAATTATTTTATTAAATATATATTTATATTTACTAAATATGTTTATTTTTTAGTAAATATATATATTTTTACTCATTATACCTATAAATATTTTTCAAAAATATATTTAAATGCATAAAGATATATTTATTTTATTATTACGCAAATATATATATAAATTGTTAATTTGTACAAATATATATAAAGTAAGCTTTAGCAGTCCGCCTGTAGATGGCGCTGCTCACCAAAATTAAATTTGGCAACGTTGCCCTTTCAAAAGTATGTTGGCAGAGATAAAGAAGGTTTAAATCAAGGATTTTACACGTGTGGGTTTAAACTTTGAATAAAAATCCTTTTTTTAAGGGTTTAAATAGTGCAAGTTTTTGGCGGTTAATTTTTTAGAGGTTAAAGTATTTATTTATTTACTTTATAATCTATGGTAGCCTACCATTGGTAGGGCCTCTAGACATGACTATCTTATTCAAACGAATGCCTTCCGTAAATAGACAACGACTTGTTCTTAATCTTACGCCATATTATTATTATAATATTATCCATATTTACATTTCTAAAATTTGTAATAAAATTGTTACAAAGTAGAAATAAATAAATATCCTCTATTAACCGCCAGAAACTTGCACTATTGAAACAGGTGCATCAACATACTTTTATAAGGGCAACGTTGCCAAATTTTATTTTGGTGAGCAGCGCCATCTATAGGCGGACTGCTTAAGCTTACTTTATATATATTTGTACAAATTAAAAATATATATATTTGCGTAAAATAAATATATCTTATATATATATTTTTGAAAAATATTTATATATTGTGTAAAAATATATATATTTACCAAAAAATAAACATATTTGGTAAATATAAATATATATTTAATAGAATAATTATGATACAAACGGCGCCTCATAAATTATAGTCTAAATTTTGACTTTTTCTCTTCGACATAACCTACAAATGTGCTTGAATTCTTTAATTCACATTTGGCACATTTTCAACGTATACTTACAGGTTTCATCTCTAATAAAAACGTTGTTATTATTGATAGCTACATTTTGAGTTATTATTATTATTAGGTATTACAAATAATTATTTTGTATGTGTAATGTCCTAAGCCGTTAGCGGCCAAAATTATGACTTGTGAAAATACAGCGTTGCCGAATTTTTTAAACTTGTCTACCTGTCTAAAAATGCTTAATTTTAGTTTTACAGCATGGCATACCGTTAGTGCCCCATTTTCAGAACACCCTGTATAATATTTGTTAAAATATTTTTACAAAACTTTGACAATTACAATTGTTATCGAGATTGCTGATCACCAATCCGAAATCATATTTCCAAAAAACAAAATGGCGGTCTCAAAATGTCAAACTGCTTTTGTAAAAATACAATAAAGTGATTAAAACAAACTAAACTATAGTTATAAATGTTGAGTGGTCAAAATTCGTTGTCCAGGACTATTCATTAATCATTAATCAGTAACTCGCAAAAATTAAAACAATAAAAAGTTTTATCTCCACGCGGTCTATAATTTAAACTTTATTGTTGTCAACATTCGATAAAGAAATAACTTGTTATGGCCTAGGCCGATAAAAAATTTTATGAGGCAAGTAATTAGTTCGATTTTTTCTCGCTAGGGGTATTGTTTTGACAAATTAATCCTTTTCTAAGAAATTAACGTACTAAACTGGTTTAATTTATTTATAATAAGCACTAATTTGTTGGTTTTACTGTTAATGTTTATTATTTTTCATTAAATTATTGTAAAATTAAATATGAATAATAAAACAAAAAGTGAGGTTAGGACATTGCAATTTGACGTTTCTGTGGATTTCACTGTTGTGTTTTCTTTTTCTACGATTTAAATTATCTTTAAGTTTTAATTTGCTTTAAGTTTTCAGTGAAATTAAATGTTAAACACAGCGTAAACATTCCAAACTACCTATTTTTTTTAATAAAAATGCAAACAAATTAAAATTAGATACCTATTTTTTAAACCAATAATTGAATTCAATGTAATAGCAAGAGGGTAAGTAAACCATTTTCTTACAAAAATCCATTTCTACTTAAATAATGCATAGCTACCCCAAATAGCACACGACCTCCCAAGGACATCCTGATTGGGTCTGTCCGGGCCAGTTTAGGATATCCCATTTCTGACGTACCTTGGACGTCCATGGGACGTCCTGAAATTAAATTGGGTATAGTATATTGGGTATCCCATTTCTGACGTACCTTGGACGTCCATAGGACGTCATAGAATTAAAATGGCAATAGTATACCATATATATATATCTTCATGCCGTCTTTCCAAAAGGCAAAAAATGTATAGCATTTGCATCATCTGTCACCTGTCTAATGATGCAAAGTGACAGATATCTGTCACCTGTCATATGATGCAAGGCGACAAATATCTGTCACCTTTCATAATCTGCCACCTGTCATTTTCTTATCTGTCATTTGCCACCTTCATTTGTCACCTGTAATATTATACAAGGCGGCAGATATCTGTCACTTTCCAACACCTGTCATTTGTCACCTATCATACCTGTCATTTGTCACCTATCATACCTGTCATTTCTTACCTGTCATTTGTTACCTGTCATTTATCGTTCTGCATAACTTTTCTTTCTGCGCATAATATCATATTTGAATTTGAATACGGCTGGCTTCGACTGTGCTGTCACCGTTTTGTACCGATCGTTACTCGAAGTGCTCCAAAAGTTGCCGAATTTGCCAACTGTTGGTGTCATAGTAAGGAACGTTTAAATATTTGAATTTAGCGCGTAAGTTTAATATCCGTTAGGGGAGTGTCATATCCGTCAGCGGAAGAAGGGGAGAGAAGAAGAAGAAAGTATCATGGCCGCAACACAAGGTTTTCGGCATAGAAAAAGGATAGGTTTTCGGCTTCGTTATTTATTTTTGGTTCAACGTAATTTCTAAGTCTGATCAAATGTAAAGCTAAGAAAATGTTTTCTTTACAATCTACCAAAAGCAAGATCCATGCAATAATATTGGGTGGCTGAAACAAATATGGATGCCAAGCCGCTAAGGGTAAAATCTATTTTCTTTTAAATGTGCTAGTGGCACTATTCCGAACACCCTGTATAGTTATCATGACAACATGCGGATTTCCAAAGAAAAGTCTCAAAAAGCCCTCACAGTACCTTAATAAGCTGGTTTGAGTATATCCCGACATAGTCCTAATCAGGACGTCCTACGGATATCTGAAAGTGTATCATTTGGCCGTCTGTAGACCTCCTAGGGACGTCAAACGGACATTGCGGGACGTCCTGAGTACTTCCGCAATGTCCCAAGCTGACGTCCCGAGGACAGCCTAAGGACGTATTTGTGCTTACTGGGACATGTAGCTAGGTATTGTCAAACTATTACTGCTTCTAAAAGGAATAATAATTATTGTACATTTAATGTAATCTTTAGCTAATATAAATAAATAAGATTCTAAAAAAGTGAGGTTAGGCCTATATAAAGTGCTTTGAAGATAAAATGTTGTATGCCATTCGGCCAAGAAGTGTCTTTTTGTGCTTCGCTCAATTGTAGGCCTCCGCTACGCGTCAGCCTTCAAACTTTGAGCTTAGCACAAAAAGCTTTACTTCTTAACCTAATGACATAAATAACTATTGTGATTATTGCTTATCTTTTTCAAACAAATGGATGCTATTTTCAAAGACAGGAAAATTAACTACTAGATTTCTCACAAAATTTTTTGTTTTTTTATTTCCTTTTTTTTAAATTTCAAAAATTTTTGATCTGCTTACAGTTCTTTTCTTATCTAGACTCGTGTTTTTTTGTTAGGTTGGTGGCTTATGCCAGTATTTTTAGTATTTAAAAATGGTACTTCTGCTAAAGAATTTAATTAAATACTTTGACACTGTCAAATTGACAATAATATTTATTATTGATAATTTACTTGTCAATTATAAATAAAAAGATAATTATGCCAAAAATAATAGCAACGAATTCGAATGTAAAAGCCCTTTTGAGGGCAAAACTTCATTTTGATGAAATTATGCCAAATGCCACAATGGAAGAGAAAGTACATCGCCTTATGGACATTTTTGGAGTAAAACACATTATTCACCATTTGACATCATTTACGTTCACAAAAAATTTTAATTTCTTTTCAAAGCGAAGATTATTATCCGCTAGGAATACTTTCTCTTCTGAGTCGTAAAGCAACCTATATTTAACTACTTTTTTATATGATTTTACTCATCCAAGCACCACCAAAGCCAAATTAATTACATTTTTAACTACGAATTTCGACAACTCAACTTGACAACTGCACAATGTAACCTACAATAATTTATACATAACCACAATTAGATTTATAACTAGCTTAGTTTGTTTTAATCAATGCGACCAACTTGACAACTGTATTTACCAACCAAAACCCTAAATTTGCAACGTTGCCGCAGTCCAGATAAAAAAAATAACTTTAGCTGAAAATAATGTGTGATTTAATATTTGTAAAACCAAAAACGTTACATTTTTACTACAAAATATATATTTTTTATTTTAAGGCGAGATGACAAACCTAACGATGGATCAGTTTACTGAGGAACTTTTAAGAGAGAAAATAATTAATTGTCGGTCTTGCGGTATAATTTGCACTTCCGATGTTTTCCTGGTTACCCTTCCCAAAGGAAAAATAACAGTGTGTGGAAACTGTTTGGAGAAAAAGGGCCGGGAGCAACTTAAATTGAAGGCTGAAATAAACACGCCACTGATGTTAATTATAGCCAAGCTGAAGCTACCATGTCAATTCCGATCCAAGGGCTGCACTAATAGGGTGCCGTCAAAAAATTATTCCAAACACATTGGCAGTTGCGAGTTTAAGATTAGACCGTGCCCGATGAAAAATATCGAAGGTTGTGATTGGAGCGGAAGCAACTTTGAATTTAGCGGACATTTACTAAAAGACCACGAAAAACATGTTATTAAAGGCGAAAACAATATTTTTAAGGTTAAAACGTCCCTAGGGCTACGCTTCAACGTTAAGATATTATCTGATGATTACCAAAGCTGCCTTTTAAAGACTTCAATCGTTGATAATAAATTTTATTATGCTTTAAATCCACTTGAAAAAAACGAAGAAAATGCGGAATATTCAGTGGCGCACAAAAGTATTCAAACACCGAATCATTCAGCGTTAAAAACCGTAGGTACTCTAACCAAACTGAACGGTTTTTATGATGAACAAAACCTGAATAAAAACCCCAACGCGACTGTGGTAGACATTGACTCATTAAAACATCTTGCAGATAAAGATAATGTTATTTCAAACGAATTTAACTTAAACCCTAAAGGAATAGATGAGGATGTGCTGAAATTATTGGAATGTCCCGTATGTTTAAGCACAATGAGACCTCCGATATATCAGTGCAATCGTGGACATAGCATTTGCATCGTATGTCGAAAAGAAGTAGGTGTATGTCCTACATGCAATGATAAATGGACCAATGTTAGAAACTTCTTTATGGAAAATTTTACAACCAACGTAAAATATCCCTGCAGGTTTAAGAAATCCGGGTGCAAAGAAATTGGAGTTGAAAGTCAAATCAAGAAACATGAAGAAATATGTTTGTTGAATAGCAATAAATCTGTATCCAATAAAATTGTCATTAAAGAACAGACAATTAAATGCATGGAAAAGGATTTAATAAGAGGTTGTAGATTTGATTGCTTTGGATGCAAAGAGAGAGGGGTTGAAAGTGAAATAATTAAACATGAGAAATCTTGTGAGTTTTGTTATTACAAATGCCCAATGTGCCCACAATTTGTACACAAAGATAATATAGTAAAACATGTATACAACAGCCATGACATTAGGGAAACTAATACATTACGCGTAATTTCAAGGTTTATCTCGCAAGTAGACTATATTATATTTGATTCAAATCTATTTAAAATATCGTGTCAGGATGATGATGGATACATTTATTTTGATGTCGAATTGATTTGCTCTAATGAAGAACCCAGTATGTATTGTTTTGTAATTACTTTTTCAAAAAATACAGGAAGGCCATTAATATTGGAATCAAGTTGTTCAAAAGAAAGGAAACTGGGATCTGATATAAAAGGAAATGTGAAAATCCCTGCTGATGAATACAATTATTTTGATGTTTCCATCCTATTCGGAATAGGCTATTCCCATGGTAAGGCCATGCAGTACCTGCCTCACCAAGGTGCGGCTGGTCCACTGTTTCCATCGAACGGAAAAATAATTCAATAAAAATGTAATTTATGTTTAACGTTAAATCCTTCCAACATAAAATATTTTTATACTTTCATACCAATTTGTCGAACTTAAATAAAATTAATACGTAATTAATATCTTTTTTTTACAATCCGGGTACCCAAAATAACACTTGCGTCAAAATTATATCTGACGTTTAATTTTTTTCACCTGACAATCGTCAATTAAAATTTATTTTTGATTTATATTTTAAAACATACTAAAGTATCGGCATACACATACACATACAAATGTATACTGTGTTGCCTAACATTATGTTTATATTTATTTTTTAAAGTCAATCATGGCCTATATGCATAGAAATAATATTATTATTATTTCAATGCCTATATGAATAAATCACTTATTTTTATAATAAAACATATTACCTACTCAGTTTTTAATTTGCAGCAACTAAATAGTGTAACGTTGCAATAGTGTTTATTTGTTTTGCAATAAGCAAAAATCACCATATCGAATAAGGTACTACTTAAAACAATTGAACGTTGCCCTTGACATTGAATACAAATAATTGAGGTTATATATCTGTCAGTTTTACGCAATTTTTTTATTTTTTGAAAATAATGCCATGTATTTTTTGTGTTTATATTAGACTGGGCCAAAAAAATACTACTTTTTTTTTTGAAAAGTATATCAAAAATATGGTTTGGGGCGACAAAAAAAAATTATTGTGAAAGTTTGAGTCCATAATATTATTATTAAGAGGTCTATCATCGCAACTTTAATTTTTTTTCCCTCATCAAGTTTTTGTCTCAGAACTCCCAAACCATTGAGTTTAACAAAATTTACTTAAAAATATTTTTTTTAAGAAAATTAAATGCTCTACAAAAAAGATTAAATAAAATAAAAAATAGACCTCTTAATAATATTATTATGGACTCAAACTTTCACAATAATTTTTTTGTCGCCCCAAACCATATTTTCGATATACTTTTAAAAAAAAAATAGTTGATTTTTTTGGCCCAGTCTAGTGTATATGTATAATAAATATCATGAAATTATAATGTAGGTATATGATATTTTATTCAAAACTATTTAGAATATCGAATTTCTAATAAAATTAACTTGTTTTAAAGAAAAAAAAATGTCCCGGAATTCAAAATAAAAGGGAATGGTAAATTCCCTGTTAAACCAATATTGGTCAAAAGTTAAACTTGAATAAATACCTATTCAATATTTTATTATTTAAGGAAGGTAAACCAGAAACTTTTCACTTAATTAATTAAGCGAATAAGTTCATTTCATTCATGATACGTTTCATTGAAAATAAGAAAGTTGATATCATCCCAAGAAAAACCAAACACCCTGTATATATTAATCACTGCATGAATTTTTGTTCTTGAATTTTTTGTGTCTCCAGTAGATTCTGAGATAAGTATAATAATATAATAGGTTTATTATGTACTTCGTATCAAAGTTTTATGGTTTTTAAAACACATATCTACCTACCTGTATAATTAACTTTTTAAATATGGGATTTATGTAAAGAAATTGATTATAAAATACATATTACAATTTTAAAATATTCAATAAACAATACATGAAATTGTATACTGGGTTGTCTAACACAAAACATATTTAAAAGCTTTCAGAAAATACCGAACTCCAACTCTAAAAAATTTTGGGTAGATCTACCAACTTTTAGTGTCTTGCTCAAATCTACTACTTTGTAAGAAATATCTACCAACTTTTTAAATTTTTTAAATTAAATTTCTGGAAAAGTGGTAATAATGGGTTGTGTTTTTTATACTTTTCCATCTTTGAACATTTACCAAATCAACAATTATACAACCCAAGTGCATATTTATAATTTGATAAATATCATAATTCGTTTTTCAATTTTTTACTTATTTTGAATATTGGCAATCTGTAATTCTGCTTTATTATTGATTTTTTATGAAAATACTCCATTAAATCAATCAAATCAAATAAATTCATAGCCATATTTCTTTAGAATACTACCAACTTTTTAATTTATATCTACCTCCTAGACAGATTTAGGGTTGGCAACACTACATCAAAGGCGGCATTACTTATGGTTTGTCCTGTATCAGCAAAAAGTTGTTTTTAAAAGAAAGAATAACATTTATTTCTTCTATTTCGATTTTTTGGAAGTGTTAGTTACTCAGGTAAGTCTTTTAATTGTTTTTATAGCTTGTACTTACACATTTAGTAAAATACAGGAATGAGCTTGTACTGCACTATCAAAAAAACTTGTGTATGTGTTTTTTTAATAACAAACTTCGGTTGATAAACATGTGTGGTTAAAATAAAAGTAGACAATGATATTCGACAAATACCTAGGGTATATTTTTAAACAGGAAAATTAAATATTTTAGCACCTGTTGAAGTTATTAAAGGTGTGGGGGATTCCTACAATTTTATATCAATTGCACATGGGTTATTCCATGCCAAATTTGCAAAATGGCTACCAATATGTTTTATATTTGTGGTTTAATAATAATGAATTCTGTTAAAATAAAGTTAATTATATACAGGGTATCCCGAAAATAGGGCAATAACGAGTATTAAACATAAAAAAAACTAATTTTATTAAAATTGGACGCCTTTTCCACATAGGCGTAGTAGGTAGTTATTTTTTTGACTCTTATAGTCTAAATTTTGACGTTTCTCCTTTGACATAACCTACAAATTTGCTTGAATTATTTAACGTTGTTATTATTGATACATTTTGAGTTATTATTATTATTATTATTACGTATAATTATTTTGTATGTGTGGTTTATTAAGGGGTTAACAGCCTAAATACAGCGTTGCCGAATTTTTTCATATCTCCAAAAAACAAAATGGCGGCCTAAAAACATCTGTTTCGACTTAAAAATATAATATTTTTTTTTATTTTAAGGCGAGATAACAAACAAAACGATGAATCAGTTTACTGACAATCTTGTGAAAGAGAAAATATTCCATTGTCAGATTTGCGATGAACTTTGCACTTCCGATATTTTCCTGGTTAAAGGGAAAGGAAATGTGTGCGGAAAATGTTTGGAAGAAAAGTTTGGGGAAGAAATGAAATCAAAGGCCGAATTAATCAGGCCTCTAATGTCAATTATGGCCAAGCTTATGTTGCCTTGCAAATTTCAGTCTAAAGGCTGCAATGAGAGGGTTGAGTCTAAAAATTATTTCAAGCACATTGGCAGTTGCAATAAAATTTCCACTAAAGAACTAACAATTAAAAGTATGGGAGAAGGTTCATTATTAGTTTGTAGATTTTATTACTTTGGATGCAAAGAACACTGCCCAATGAAAAATGCGGAAAATTTTACTACCAACGTAAATAAAAATAAATTTGTATTCAACAAATTTTCCATTAAAGAACTTACAATTAAATGTATGGAAGAAGGCTCCTTATTAGGTTGTACATTTTTTTACTTTGGATGCAAAGAAAATAATTAAACATTGGGAATCTTGTGAGTTTTTTGTTACAAATGCCGAATTTGCCCAAAATTTCTACACAAAAATAATAAACTAAAACATGCCATACCATTAAGGAAAAATAATTTAATAATTGGTACACATACATTTATGTTTACCAACATAAAATATTTTTATACCTATTTGTCAAACTTAAATAAAATTAATACATTCTTAATATCTTTTATTTTTACCCTTTTTGGAAGAAAAACGTCCTTTTACCCCATGGGTTACTAAACAAAAAATGAAGTTTCCAACAGTTTATATTAAAAACTTTAAATTTAATTGTGTAGGTATAATATGATGTTAATACTTGTAAAATCAAAAAGTTATCCTTAATTTTAATGTAAGTAAAATGAAAACAAAATAAAAAGTACCTATAAAAAATAAAAAGTAGTTTTACAATATTTTTTTACACCCCTAAATCTACCAAATTAACCTGAAATGTACCTCTCACCTAAATAATACAAAAAAAACGGTTTGATGAAGGGTTTTTCGTAAAATTAAATATAGCGCAGTTGATATTAAATGAAAAGATATGGAATGCATATTTTGATAATTTATTTTTTGCAATAGCCCCTAATTTTCTAATTATACTAAACATTTGAAATTATAATTATTATAAATTAATTAATTAATAACATTTTTAAGTCCAAATAATAAATAAACAATACATACACATGAAAATGTATACTGGGTTGCCTAACACAAAACATTTTAAAGCTTTCAGAAAACACCGCTGGCGGCGTTACTTGTAGAATTGTTAAATGGTTTGTTCTGTGTCTTGCATCAGCAAAAATTTGTTTTTATAAGAAAGAATAACATTTATTTCTTCTATTTCGATTTTTTGGAAGTGTTTAGTTACTCAGGTATGTCTTTTAATTGTTTTTACAGCTTGTACTTACATATTTAGTGAAATACATAAATGTGCTTGTATACTATCAAAAAAAGCTTGTGTGTGTGTTTTTTTATGAAACTTCGGTTGATAACCATGTGCATTTAAAATAAAAGTAGAGAATGCTATTCGAACGAATACCTACGTATATTTTTAAACAAGAAAATCAAATATTTGACCACTTGTTGAATTCATTTAGGGTGTGGTCGAATTTGGGGGATTCCCTATAAGATCAAATGCTTATACAGTGTTGCCAGATGTAAAAGTGAAATTATTGAACAGGGTTGACAAAATTATCGAATTTTCAGAAAATAGTGTTAAAAAGTGTAAAAAATATTAAAATTTTGTCATTTTTATTTCCCGCTTTTACATTTTAAATTGGGTTCTTAATAATTTTTAATTTTGTGTTTTTAACATTTACAAGTAAGTTTGACGTTCCAAAAAATGTATTTTTGTCGTTTTTTATTATTTATTTTTTTACTTATTTATTATCTCATTCCTTAATTTTTTAGTGTGTTTTTAATATTTTAAAACGTATTTTTGACTTTTTAAAATGTGCTTTTGTCATTTTTCACTTTCTCAGTCATTCATTTTTACTCTTCATTTTTGACTCATTCACTATGTATTTTGTACTCTTCAAGTTTATTGTTTGATTATGTTTTAATATTTTAAAACGCATTTTTGAAATTCTTAAGAATTAAATTTAATGTGATTTTGTTATTTTTACTCTTCATTGAATGACTCTCTCACTCTTCATTCATTTTTAAGTGGATTTTACTCATTCATTATCTCATTCCTTCATTCCCAAGTAAGTTTGAAGTTCCAAAAAATGTATTTTTGTCGTTTTTTACTCATCCATATTTTAAAACGTACTTTTGACATTTTAAAATGTGCTTTTGTCATTTTTACTCTTCATTGTATGACACTTTCACTCTTCATTTTTTAGTGTGTTTTTAATATTTTAAAACGTATTTTTGACCTTTTAAAATGTGCTTTTGTCTTTTTTTTTTTTTACTTTCTCAGTCATTCATTTTTACTCTTCATTTTTACTCATTCACTATGCATTTAGTACTCTTTCAAGGTTAATATTTTATTGTTTGATTATGTTTTAATATTTTAGAACGAATATTTGAAATTCTGTGATGTGCTTTTGTTGTTTTTACTCTTCATTCTATGACTATCTAACTCTTCATATTTTTAGTGGGTTTTTTAATATTTTAAAACCTATTTTTGACCTTCTAAAATGTGCTTTTGACATTTTTTTACTTTCTCAGTAATTCATTTTTACTCTTCATTTTTGACTCATTCACTATGCATTTTGTAGTCTTTCAAGGTTAATATTTTATAGTTTGATTATGGGCCATTCCACGCGTAACGGATAGGACAGTTGCCGTGTTTTCATTTACAAAATAATATTGTTCTATTATATTATCAATGTCAAATTTTTATAAATAGTTCTAAACTAAAGCTGTTTAACAAGGTTTTTATTTGGCAAAATTAGGTATCGTGGTTGACTGTTTAATTCCTTAAAAACTAATAATTTAAAGCGCAACGGACGGGACTTTGTAATAGTCCCGCCCGTTACGATTTAAATTATTATTTTTTAAGGAATTAAACAGTCAATCACGATACCTAATTTTGCCAAATAAAAACCTTGTTAAACAGCTTTTGTTTAAAACTATTTATAAAAATTTGACATTGGTAATATAATAGAACAATATTATTTTGTAAATAAAAACACGGCAACTGTCCTATCCGTTAAGCGTGGAATGGCCCTTATGTTTTAATATTTTAGAAGGCATTTTTGAAATTCTGCGCTCTCAGTAATTCATTTTTACTCTTCATTTTTGACTCATTAACTATGCATTTTGTAGTATTTCAAGGTTAATATTTCATTGTTTGATTATGTTTTAATATTTTAGAACGCATTTTTGAAATTCTGTAATGTGCTTTTGTTATTTTACTCTTCCTTGTATGACTCTTTCACTCTTCATATTTTTTAGTGGGTTTTTAATATTTTAAAAGTATTTTTGACCTTTTAAAATGTGCTTTTGTCTTTTTTTTACTTTCTCATTCATTCATTTTTACTCTTCATTTTGACTCATTTACTATGCATTTTTTTCACTCTTTCAAGGTAAATATTTTATGTTTAAATATTTTAGAACGCATTTTTGAAATTCTGTAATGTTCTTTTGTTATTTTACTCTACATTGTATGACTATTTCACTCTTCATATTTTTTAGTGAGTTTTTAAAATGTGCTTTTGTCATTTTTTCACTTTCTCAGTTATTCATTTTTACTCTTCATTTTTGACTCATTCAAGGTTAATATTTCATTGTTTGATTAGGTTTTAAAATAGGTGAAAATATAACAATTTTTTTTAAATTTTAAGGCGAGATGTCAAACGAAACGTTTACCGACAATCTTTTGAGAGAGAAAATATTCCACTGCAAGATTTGCGATGAGCTTTGCACGTCCGATATTTTCCTGGTCAAAGGTAAAGGAAATGTGTGTGGAAAATGTTTGGAAGAAAAGTGCGGTGAGGACATAAAATCGAAGGCCGAATTAATCACGCCTCTAATGTCAATTATGGCCAAGCTAATGTTGCCATGCAAATTTCAATCTAAAGGCTGCGATAAGAGGGTTGAGTCTAAAAATTATTCCAAGCACATTGGCAGTTGCGATTTTAAGATTAAACAGTGCCCTATGAAAAATGTGGAAGATTGTGACTGGAGTGGAAGCAATTTCGAAATTAGCGGACATTTATTAAAAAATCATCATGATCACGTTATTAAAGGTGAAAACAATATTTTTAAGGTTGAAACATCCATAGGGGAACCTTTTAACGTTAAGATATTATCTGATGATTACCAAAGCTGTCTTTTAAAGACTTCAGTTGTTGATAATAAATTTTATTATTCTTTAAATCCACTTGAAAAATCCGAAGAAAGTATGGAATATTCGGTTGTTCACAGAAGTATTGAAACACCAAACCCTTTAGTGAAAACCGTAGGTACTTTTACCAAACTGAATGGTTTTTATGATGAACAAAACTTGAACATAAACCCCAACGCGACTGTGGTAGACATCGACTTGTTGAAACATATTGCAGACGAAAATGATATGATTTCGAACGAATTTAATTTGAATCCTAAAGGACTAGATGAGGATATGCTGAAATTATTGGAATGTCCCATATGCATGAGCACAATGAGACCTCCAATATATCAGTGCAATCGTGGACATAGCATTTGCATCATATGTCGAGAAGAAGTAAGTGAATGTCCAACATGCGAGGATAAATGGAGCAATGTTAGAAACTTCTTTATGGAACATTTTACTACCAATGTGAAATATCCCTGCAAGTTTAAGAAATATGGCTGCAAAGAAATTGGAGTTGAAAGTGAAATCAAGAAACATGAAGAAAATTGTTTCTTAAATACATTTGTTGTAGCTGCTACAGCTTTGAAAGGAATCAAAGCTACATTTGAAAGGAATTAAAGCTACAGCTTTGAAAGAAAATTATGAAACATGAAAAACCGTGTCGGTTTTGTACTTACAAATAATAATAATAATAAATTTATTTTCCATTCAAATACAATACAAATTCATCTAATTTAGCATATTTTATACATAGAAAAAAAAACAAAAAAAAAATTTGTACAAAAAATGGAAAAATCTCTGGGGTGTGTTTAGGCAGATAGAATAGTTCTATCCCCCGGTTTTCAACACTTCCCCAGTTAATCACTTAAATTATAAAATATTTCTGTAAAAATAAATAAATGAAAATTCTATTATGTGTAGAAATAAAACAAATAAGAAGAAAAAAAAATACGCATATAAAAATACGGATATAAAAAAAACGAATAAAAATAAAGTGAATTATCTCCTTCTAAATATGACATGTTTAATTTATTGGTTGTTTATTAAAAAAATTGAAAGTTCTTTCTTAAACATCCTATAACTTTGAGCTTTAAAATTGTCTGGTAAAAAGTTATAAAGCTTGGCAATCATGAAACTAAATGACCGTTCATATAATGTTGTTCTGTGAAACGGAATTGTTATGGAAGATATCTTTTCTAATATTAATATTATGTATATCTTCCCTAAAAGTAATTCGATCAGATAAATAAGTAGGAGATTTTTATTTTAATACTTGATGATAAAAGCATAGAGTTTTATGTTTTAACCAATTTTCCATGTTTACCCAATTTAAGTCCCTAAGTTTGAGAGAAATGTGATTTCTTCTGCTTATTCCAAACACATACCTTATGCAAGAATTCTGCATACGTTGAATTCTGTTTTTTGTTACCACGTCCAAACACGGATAATAAACTGCTGCACAGTAAGAAAAATTTGATATCACCAAGCTTTCACATAGCATTTTTTTTACTTTAATGGATAAATAGTCTTTATGTGGAAATAACATTTTTAAAGATGTATATGCACGTTGTATGTATTTGGAAATCTGCATTTTAAATCTCAGTGTTTGATCAAAGCATAAACCTAGATTTACTGCGCTTTGAACAATTGGTAACTGAACATTTTCGATGGACAAATTAAAATCTAAATTCCCTGTTAAATTATTTATAATTGTTTTGTTACCAAACAGCAGTACCTTTGATTTTCCGGGGTTTAAAAACAAGGAATGCTTTTTTGAAATTTCGTCTATAGAATTAAGGTCTATTGAGATTTCTTGCATAGCTTTCTCTACCTTATTACTTTCGAATGAAAGGTACAGCTGGGTGTCATCAGCATACATGTGATGGTTGCAGTACGTTATGCAATTAGGAAAATTACTTGTGTAGATGGTAAACAAAAGAGGTCCTAAAATTGATCCCTGTGGCACTCCCATTTTAATGACTTTACTAAATGATAAACATTGATCAATTTTGACTCTTTGTATTCGGTTAATTAGATAATTATTTATTAAATTGATAGCATTACCACCCAAACCTATAAAATGAAGAATTGAAAGAAGCAACTTATGATTAATCGCATCAAAAGCCTTCGTAAAGTCTAACAATACTAATGCTGTTGTTTTATGAGAATCACAAGCTAAAAAAACATCATCTAATACATTGACCAGACCTGAAGTACAACTATACCCTTCTCGAAAACCAGATTGATACTTGGGAAAAATATTATTTTTTTTTAAATGATCTACCAACTGCTTTTGCATAACTTTTTCCAACACTTTTGATAACGCTGGCAAAATACTCACTGGCCGTAAATCCTTAAGTTCTTTCGGTTCGGAAATAACATTAGCCTCTTTCCATTGAACAGGTACCACATTTTCTAATAAACATGTATTTATTATATTTGCCACATAAGGTAAAATAGTTGGACAGGAATATTTAACCATATTTATATTTATGTCATCAGAACCAACTGCGTTACTTTTTATTTTATTTATAGTTTCTAATATTTCAGTTTGACTTACCAAGGAAAAAGAAAATTCGGCAGGAATATTTTGAAAAGTATTTCCCAGGTAATAATTAATTAGGTCATCATTATTTACATTAGATACTGGTACGCTATTTATAAAAAAGTTATTAATTAAATTAACATAGATCTCTTAAGTGATCTCTTAAGTGATCAGGTAGAATATTATTTAGTTTAAAGTTAAAATATGCTCGCTTTTCATTTCTTAATGCAATAGTAGTAAAATTTCTTAATTGTTTAAAATACTCCAAGTCCGATCCGAACTTTGTTTTCTTAAACTTAATTTTAGCTTTGTCTCGTAATTTAATTAAAAACTTAATATTATCTGTTAACCATGGATTATATGGTTTGTTAATTTCGATTGTTTTATATGGGGCATGAAAATTAAATAAATTTATAAGATGGTGATTTAAAAAATCAACTTTATCATCAACATTATCCAGATATAATATATTATGCAGTGGCAACTGTTCCAGATCCTTAGTAAAGTTTGAAAAATTAATTTTACTAAAATTTCTAAATGGCACTATATTGGAAGTACAATTTGTCGTACAATACACCAAATCATGGTCTGAAACTTCTATACTTAAATTTCCGAAACTTCTCACTAACGAAATGTCAGAAACAAGAATCAGATCTATCAATGTTTCCGTTTTTTCAGTGATACGCGTAGGTTGATTTATAATTTGTCTTAATCCAATTTCATCAAGTAAAGAGTTGAAATAAGCTACAGACTGTTCAAAATTGGAAAGAAAAAAATTATAGTCTAATTTAATGCCCAATGTGCCAAAATTTTTACACAAAGATGTTTTAATGCAACATGCAATTTATCAACATACACTTAATACATCATGTCGCCATCCATTTGTAAAGTCTTTAGCAGAAAATATAAGCTATTTAAGGTATGATTTAAAGATATTCAGATTTTCGTATCACACTGAAGATTCGTATGTTTATTTTGCGGCTGAAATGATTTGCTCTGATGTAAATCCCAAACTGTATACTTATGAAATTAATTTTAAAAGATATCCATTTGACAAAGATGAATTAAAATTGGAATCAACTTGTTTAAAAGAAATGCCAAGAACCTCAGGATTAAAAATAAAAGGAAATGTGAAAATTCACGTTGATGAACCTTTCGAATCTTTTTCAGTTTCCATGAGAGGGGGAGAATATTAAAAACACATTTAAGTATAAAATATTTGTTATCTTTAGTTTAGTTACTTTTATCATTATTATTATTATTAGTTATTAGTTTTGGGGTGTAGGCAATACATACACATACAATTGTACACTGTGTTGCCTAACACGGTACTTTTTCTTTTGTAGCCTAAATTTATTTATTTTTCATCATGGTCTATTTGAAAAAATTACTTGTTTATCTTATAATAAAAAATACATAACTCAGTTTTAGTTTTCTTGAAATTTCACTGATTTAGGTAAGGCGACGTTGCACACAATTATATATAATAATATTATAATATATTATATATTTATTAATAGCATTTATAGACCTTTAAAAACAATGTTTATGGCCGGTATTAACTGTGAAATTTGGTCTCAAACAGAGTAACGTTCCGGGAAAATTAGATTTTCTTTATTTATATTTGGCAACAGTGTTGTTTGTTATGCAATAAGTGAAAGTTCGTGACGTGGCGTTATTTGATTGAATTTCAAGCACATTTATATTGTACGTGTATTACTGAATTGTGTAACACAATTTGTGTTCAGTAATAGAACAAACTTGGTTTGGTTGTCCACATGTTCTTTGGAATTAAATAAGGTAACTACCGATGATATGTTAACGCAAATTTTGTCGTTTTTGGCAATAACAAAATGTATGTATTTAATGTGTTAGAAAATAAGGCAAAATTAGCGTTTAACTATTTAATTAACCTCAATTTTTTTACTGCTTTCCCTATTTAAATGTCAAAATATATTTTTAGGCTTCATATACTTTATGGATTGCAGTTATACCTTTATTAGTTACTATTGTTATAGTACCTATGAAAAAATGTCAGCATAAAGGTAAGTTAATTTTAGAATACCTACAGTATATAGTATTTTAATTGTAATTAATTTTATTTTCAGAAAACTTTCCTGGTCAAAGAGGCTGAATTAAATGGCGCCCATCTCATATCAACGTGCTTGGAATACTTTTTGGACTCCACCCTCTTGTCGCAGCCCTTGGATTTGAATTTGCACGGCAACATCAGGTTGGCTAGAACTGTAATCTTACAGTTTTAGCCAACCTGATGTTGCCGTGCAAGTTATAATCCAAGGGCTGCGATAAAGGGGTGAACTCCAAAAATTATTCCAAGCACATTGGAAGTTGCGATTAGATGTTAGGAAAAATTTTCATTAAAATTGGTTTTTATTATACAATGAGTTTTATTGTGTTATCTAATCTAAGGTAAATAAAAAACATTACAATAAGTAAAAACGAGATTTTTAATTTTAAACAAGATACACATGGAATTGTATAATTGGTTGCCTAACACTAATAATTCAAGACCATCATTGTGTAAGTCAAGAAGTCTAAATAAAGGAGCGGCCAAACCAAGAAGACTAAATAAAGGAGAGGTCAAAATCGGTAACCTTGATTAAGACAGAATTTTACAAATTTTCAAAAAGTTATATATTTTAAAATTAAAAATTCTGTCAAATTCGTAAATTTTGGAAAATTTGAATTTTTTTTTAGTTTTTAATTTTTTCAAATATATATTTTTGGACATTTGACAACATAACCAAACATTTTTTAAATCCCAAATTTTTGTAAATTTGGCAATATTCATCCTCTTATTACTAATATTTCAAGACCATCATTATGTAAACCAAGAAGACTAAATAGAAGCGGCCAAACCAAGAAGACTAAAAAAGGAGACAAAACTTTACAAATTTTGATTTTTTTAGAAATTTAAATATTTAAAAATTTCGACAATTCCAAAATTTTAGTAAAATTAAAAATTTTGTAAAATTTGAATTTTCCTTTAGTTTTTAATTCTTTCTAAAAATTATTTAGTGTAAATTTGGCAACATGGCCAAACATTTTTTAAATGTCAGATTCTGGGAATTTTTTGTAAATTTGGCAACATTTGCCCTCTTATTACTAATAATATTTCAAGCCATCATTATGTAAACCAAGAAGACTACATAAAGGAGCAACCAAACCAAGAAGACTAAATAAAGGAGAGGTCTAAAATGTTATCAAAATCGGATTTAGTAACCTCGATTAACCATTATGACAAAATTTTACAAATTTTTGTAAATTTAAATACTTTAAAAATTTCAACAATTCGAAAATTTTTGTTAACTTGAAAATTTTGTAAAATTTGTAAAATTTTTTTTGTTTTTAATTCTTTCTAAAATGAATTTTTGGAAATTTGGCAACATGGCCAAACATTTTTTAAATCCCTTGACTTGACCTTGATTAACCTTTAAGACAAAATTTTACAAATTTTGAAAATTTTCGGTAATTTAAACACTTCAAAAATTTCGACAATTTAAAAAAAATTAAAAATTTTGTGAAATTTGTACTTTTCAAAGATTTTGGAAAATTTGAATTTTTTTTAGTTTTTAATTTTTTCTAAAATGATTTTGTAAATTTGGCAACATTGACAAACATTTTTTAAATCCCAAATTCTGGGAATTTTTCTTATTACCAATATTTCAAGCCATAATTATGTAAACCAAGATTAAATAAATAAATGAGCGGCCAAACCACGAAGACTAAATAAAGGAGAGGTCAAAATTTTTGTCAAAATCGAATTTAGTGACCTCGATTAACCATTAAGAAGAAATTTTACAAATTTTAGGAAATTTAATTATTTTAAAAATTTTGACAATTCGAAAATTTTTCCAAAATAAATTTGGCAACATGGCCAAACATTTTTTATATTCCAGATTTTGTAAATTTGGCAACATTCACCTTCTTATTACTTATATTTCAAGACCATCATTATATAAACCAAGAAGACAAAATACAGGAAGGGCAAAACCAAGAAGACAAAATAAAGGAGAGGTCAAAATTTTTACAAATTTTGAAAATTTTTAAAAATTTTAAATTTTTGTAAATTTGGCAACAGGGAAACTGGAAATAATAATAAAAAATTAAACAACAAAGCTCTTTATTGCTACGACAATGTACACTTTAAATTTACATTTAGAAAATTAATAGAATACTGTAAAATAAATAGACCCTATACAAACAAAATTAACGTGCTACATATTCTTGCGGATATGTATTATTTATACACAAAAAAAAATCAAAATTTACATAGATACTCTAAAATTTATATCTTAGTAGTTATATTTCACATTCAACAATAATTGTATTCATAATATTGTCAATATTTCCAACGTTAAAAAAATCAACCCGCTTTTTTGGTAACCATCATTTTATTTTTACATCCTTGGGTGGGGCAGTTTTATGAGAAAAAATGAAAGTGTTTTTTCGGTTAATCATATTAATTAACTCCCTAGCGATTTTAAAAATCAAAACATCAATATCACATAAACTAGTTAATAAAATTAAATTAAAAATGATCAGGTGAAGAAAAAAATAGTTGTAGGTGTAGACAAATCAACCGTTTACACTTGAGACATATAAGGGTAGTTGATATCTTTCAATGGGACAAATGTTTCTTTAATTGCTTGAGGGTTGCCCCATCTAAGACAGTAGTGAGGTCCACCGGCTTTGTCATTGGTACCTGAAAAAAAATTACGCTCTTCATTTTTTGCTCCTTTTTTCCCATTTGACTCTTCTATCATTCTCTCATTTTCACTCTTACATGGTTACAATTTAATTGTTTAAATATTTATACGTGTATTTTTAACATTTGTCTGAACAATCTTAAATGTTGTGTTTTTGACATTTCCAAGTAAGTTTAACGTTCCCAAAATAAAACGCACTTTTGTTATTTTTCACTCTTCATTTTTTAACTCCTTTATTATTTCATTTTTTCATGTTTACTCTTTTACCATACATTTTCTACTGTGCTTTTGTTTTTTACTCTTCATTGCATGACTCTCTCACTCTTCATATTTTTTAGTGGGTATTTAATATTTTAAAACGTATTTTTGACCTTCCAAAATGTGCTTTGTCATTTTTTCACTTTCTCATTCATTAATTTTTACTCTTCATTTTTGACTGATTCACTATGCATTTTTTACTCTTTCAAAGTTAATATTTCATTGTTTGATTATGTTTTAATATTTTGGAACGCATTGGGTTTTTATTATTTTAAAACGTATTTTTGACCTTCTAAAATGTTTTTTTGTATTTTTTTTTAAATTTTCATTCATTTATTTTTACTCTTCATTTTTAACTCATTCACTCACTTACCTATTTTTTAAATCCTTTATTAGGTTTATAAATATTATAAAACCTTTTTTCGATATTTGTCAATTTTTTGACTCTTCATGTTTACTCTTTCATTTTTGAACACGTATAGCGACTTACCCGACATTCTGGCACCACCGAAAGGTTGCTGCCCGACAACGCTGCCCGTGGATTTGTCGTTGACGTAAAAGTTACCAGCCGTCATTTTCAGGTCTTCCACAGCCCTCTTCAAAAACGCCCTGCAAAAAAATCGAAGATGAGATCCCTGCTCGGGCGCCAAAAAATACTCGTTTACTCACTCGTCTTGAGCGAAGATGGCGCCAGTGAGAGCGAAAGCAGTGGACTCGCCGATGAGTTTTAAAACGTCTTCGACATCTTTGTCCTTGTAGACGTATACTGCCAAAACGGGCCCGAAAATTTCCTCCACCATGATTTTATCGCATGGGTCCGTAGACTGAACGATTGTTGGTTGGATAAAGTAACCGACGCTTAAAAAAAAAAAAACGAACAGGTTTCGATTTTTTTTCAACTGTGAAAGATACTACCTGTCGTCGTATTTTCCGCCACGGATGATACTCAAATTTGAGGAGTTTTTCGCGTGGTCAATGTAACCGGAAATCCTCTTGAAAGCTTTGTCGTCTATTACAGCCGACGTAAAACTGTCGTATTCAGTAGGATCGCCGATTTTTAGCTTGTCGGCTTCTTCGATTAAACCTTCCTTCACCTTTAAACAAACAAAACATTTTCCCTGACAGATATCATTCGACTAAAAGTAGGTAGATTTTGTCGAAAACATTTTTTAATATTTGTAAGAGATGGCGCTTTAATAAAAAAATCAATTTCCCTTCTGTATACCATTCCGCAATAATTTTTCAATAAAATATAAAAATGATATATCACTTTTTCTTTGGAAGTTTTACATTACAACTCATGTTGTATTATTATTTTTGTTTGTTTTTTTTATTTTATTTGTTTTTCCTGTAAGGATATTTTTTTTCAAATGTATATATTTTCAAAAAAAAAAAATCCAATGCCTGGTTTTTTATGTTTTTCACTTCTGAAGCTATTCCCAAAGTTTCAGATTTTTATATAATTAGAAAAAATCCTTAAAAAAGAGGCATTTTGACTGAAGTTTCGGATTAAAAAAAAATATAACAAATCCTAAGGTAGTGGGAAAAAGTCATACATTTTTTATCAAACAAGGTTTTTTTATTTTTTTACTCTTCTGAAGTTTCAGATTTTTAAATTAATTTTTAAACTGAGCCCTGACCACTTTTCAAAAAAAAGATAAAATCCTTAAAAAGAGGGAAAAATCTACGTTAAAAAAAATTAGAGCAAATACTAAAAGTCAAAATTTTCAAACGAGTTTTTTCTTACTTTTTAACATTCTAAAGGTACTACCAAAATTTGAGATTTTTAAATTAATTTTTAAACTGGAATGAAAAAAATCATAAAAATAGTGAAAAAATCATACCTATTTTCAAATCATAAATTAAATTTTTCCCAATGACTGAAAAAAAAACGAAAAAAAACAGGTTTCCCCCCCAATTTTTCCGTTTTTTTTTCGAAAATTTAAAACCCTATACCCACTACTAAACCCACTACTTTTTTTAATTATTATTTTTTCTGAAGCTGTTCCCAAAGTTTCAGATTTTTAAATTAATTTTTAACCTCAGCCCTGACCACTTTTCAAAAAAAAAAAGAGAACAATTTTGACTGAAAAAAAACCGAAAAAAACAGTTTTCCCCCCAATTTTTCCGTTTTTTTTTCGACAATTTCAAACCCTATAGGATATAGCCCCCACTACTTTTTTTTAATTATTATCTTTTTTAACGAGTTTTTTTATATTTTTGTCACTTCTGAAGCTGTTCCCAAAGTTTTAGATTTTTAAATTAATTTTTAACCTAAGCTCTGACCACTTTTCAACAAAAAAAAAATTGGAAAAAATCCTTGAAAAAAAAATAAATAATTAGAGCAAACCCTAAAATTTTTTATAATTTTTTTTTTCAAACTAGTTTTTTCTTAATCTTTAAATCGAACTGAAAAAAAAAACGGAAAACCTAACCCTACTAATTACTGACATATTTTAAAGTTTCGTATTTCGTATTTTCACACTAACCTTTGGCCACAGAGACTCGGGCACGTACATCCTGCTAAGGGCGCTGCACTTTTGCCCGCAAAACTCGAAAGCGCTTCTGATGCTGCCAGTCACCACGCTAGTGACATCTGCCGTGGGGTGAACGAAGTGGTAATTTTTACCGCCGCATTCCCCGATCAAACGCGGGAAGTTGACGTAGCGGTCGATGTTTTGACCCACTTGCTTCCACAGACGCTGGAAAGTGCTGGAAAAACAACCTGCTAGGTAATCAAGTTACTCAAAGAGTAACTCAAGTTACTCAAAGAGTAACTTTTCGACTTACGGAACGCTTCCGGTGAAGTTGATACCGGCCAGGTGGGGAGAGGCGGTTATGTTGTCGCCAAAAACTGGCCCGTCGGCGGGAATGAAGTTTACGACGCCTGGGGGCACTCCTGCCTCGCGACAGATCTCGAAGATGTACCAGTTTGATAGTACGGCGGTATCGCTGGGTTTCCAGAGCACCGCGTTGCCCTGGTGAATGTTTATTACTCATTTGCCACACTCTTTTGTAATTTTAACTCTTCATTTTATGACTCTTTCACTTTTTCGCTCTTCCAGCCTTTTGTTTGTTGCATCTTAATGTTTTTTAAGTTTAACGGTGTTTTTAGTATTTCAAAACAATCTTAAATGTATTGGAATGACAATATCAAAAACATTTGAGCGAATGAAAGAGTGAAAAATGATAAAAGTACATTTTAGAATGTCAAAAATATTATGAAAGAATGATGAAAGAAGAGTACAAAAGTACAATTTTTTAGAACGTCAAATTTACTTGGAAATAATAAAAAATATGAAGAGTGAGAGTCATACAATGAAGAGTAAAAAATGACAAAAGAACTATATAGAATTTTAAAAATGCATTTTAAAATATTAAAACATAATCAAACAATGAAATATTAACCTTGAAAGAGTACAAAATGAGTCAAAAATGAAGAGTAAAAATGAATAAATTAGGAAGCAAAAAAATGACAAAAGCACATTTTAAAAGGTCAAAAATACGTTTTAAAATATTAAAAACCCACTAAAAAATGAAGAGTAAAAAATAACAAAAGAAAATTATACAAACAATGAAATATTAACCATGAAAGAGTAAAAATGCATAGTGGATGAGATAAAAATGAATGAATCAACACATTTCAAAAGTTCAAAAATACAATTAAAATAATAAAATCCCATTAAAAAAATATGAAGAGTGAGAGAGTCATACAATGAAGAGTAAATATAATAAAAGCTCATTAGAATGTCAAAAATGCATAATGAAAGTAAAAACGACATTTTAGAATGTCAAAAGTACGTTTTAAAATTTCAAAAAGATAATGAAGGAGTAAAAAAATAAAGAGTAAAAAATTACAAAAGTATATTTTAGAATGTCAAAAATATCATGCATTTTTGACACTCTAATGAGCTTTTGTCATTTTACTCTTCATTTTATGACTCTTTCGCTTTTGTTTATTTTATCTTAATATTTTTTATTTTTAACGGTATTTTCAGGATTTTAAAATGGGTTCTAAACAATCTTAAATGTTGTACATTTATTTTTTGGAACGTCAAACTTACTTGGGAATGTCAAAAACATTTGACATTCTTAAGTTTGACTTTCAAAAATGTTTTTCTAATCAACTTTTGTCATTTGTACTCTTCATTTTTTCCTCCTGCATTAAATTATTTTTATGTTTAACGGTATTTTTAGGATTTTAAATTGTTTTGGAACGTTAAACTCACTTAGGAATGTCAAAAACATTTGACATTTCCAAGTAAGTTTGAGGTTTCAAAAATAAAGCGTATTTTTGTGATTTTCACTCTTCATTTTTTCTCTTTCATCTTATTTTTTTCAATATATTTTTAAAATGCATTGAAAAAATATTTTTTAATTTTTTTCCAAAAAAATTCAAACTTACCATAAGAGCTGGAGTGTAAGCGAGGTTACCGCCGATGGCGGTAAAATTGAAAGGAGCAATGGCGGCTACAAAACCGTCAAAACCTCTGTACCTCATGGAATTTTTCGTCACCTTAGGGTTTTCCGAGATGGGTTGATATTTGGTCGCCTCCTTCAGAAAATAGCAATTCAACCTAAAAAAAAAAAAAAAAAATACCGATCCAAACCACAATTTCATCAATGGGTAGTTAAATTTTTTCTGACCTATACTTTTTATGGTTTTATTCAAGGCGTTTTGTAATTTTAAACATTTCTGTGAAATCGGAATTTCAATTGAGTTTACCTTTTTTGAGATATTTACAAAAAAAATCTCCTAATTACGTCACTAGGCTATTGACAACGTTGCCAGCTTTTTCTATGGTTGTCAGTGTGTTTAGTTTAAGATTCTTACGATAGATGGCGCCACGTTACAATATTTTAGTTTTAAAACCACTTGATCTATAATTTTAGTTGAGAAGAAGAAGAAGAATTGATTTTTTGACGTTTCTTTTTTTCGGGTTATGTTTTTTTTAAATTTAGATTATTGAAAATCAATGTTAATTGTTATGTTATTTGTAATTGATATTAGATAAGTGATTTATTAATAACGGACTCCAAAGCAGAGGAATCTTGTGGAATGGTTGGTTACATTGAACATTGGAGCTTTTAAACAAATAAAGTAAGTACCTATAATTATAATCATATTTTGTCGTAAATGCATTTCATTAGTGTAATGCCTAGTTCTTTATATTCTTTTAGATATATCTTGGACTCTAAAATATCAAACAGTAATATGATACCTCGTAATAAGGAAGATAGGTACCTAATGAATTTGGTGACCATCTTTCACTCAACTGACAGTGACAGTATTTGTACATAACCTCTTCGGGTATTTTCTGACATAACCGAATGAAATCATTAACAAGACAACTTGACAACAGGGTAATTTTCAACCAATAGAAATCTTAGAATGTTGGTCACATGGCGAGGTTTGTGACGTCATAAAAATTTATATTTTTTGTAAATATCTCGAAAACGGTAAACTCAATTGCAATTCCGATTTCACAGAAATGTTTAATATTACAAAACGCCTTGGATAAAACCATAAAAAGTATAGGTCAGAAAAAATTTAACTACTATACCCCATTCATACCTGAAGAAATCTATTAATTCGGCGGCAGAATCGATTTCAGCCTGTATTGTCGTCTTGGCCTGGCCCAGCATTGTTGCCGCGTTTAACCTAGCCCTCCACGGCCCAGCCATGAGAGAGGCGGCTTTCTCCCAAATCCTCAATCTAAAAAAACATAAAAAAAAATTTTGGAACACCAAAAAACCGCACAATAAACCAAAAAACTGACCTTTCTGGGATTGGTACTCTGTCCCATTTCTTCTGGGCTTCACAGGCCGTCTGAATCGCCTGGTTGACTTGATCTTTGTTCGCGTAGTAAAATTTCGCGATCTTTTTTTTATGGTTATGTGGCATAACCTAAAAAAACAAAACCGCCGATAACATTGAAAAAAACACACACACAAGTGATGATGATACCTGGTATCTGACATCATTAGAAGTCAACTCTTTGTCCCCAATAACAATAGGAACTTCTTCAGTTTTACTTGCTACTTCTTGCAGAGCAGCTTCCAATTCTTTACGCTCCTTGGAGCCTTTAAGGTACTCTAGGACGGGCTCATTTTTAACCCCGAAATCCTGGATCTTCATTTCAGGGATCACAGAGCCAAGACATCTCAAACCAGACCTGATATTTTGACACAGTGATGTAATTTGTAATTTATTAATACGTTATATATACATTAAAACTGGTTAAGTACTCGATTTCAATGGATTATTCCTTATATCATTGATTAAGAAACTCAACGCTTAAATGCTTATATAGTTACGTTAGTGCGTGTATTTTATCTAAGGGATCATGGTGGATTATTGCGTTTTTAATTGTAAATAAAATTCAAGAACTAAATCGTTGCATTTTCATGTTTTGCCAAAGGATCCAATTCGGTAAGTACATTTGTCGGTGCAGAATTAACTAATGATAACTTCACCTAATATAATTTATATTTAAGTTTGGACATTTTTAAGAAATTAGTAAAAAATAATTTTTGCAGTAACATAACCTTAAAATCAAACATTTTTATATTTGAGTTCTCTAAAAAACGCCGACAACTGCATTTTAAACAACAAAATATACCTACGAATTCATGGCAACATAATATTATATATAATACATAATATAATGGTATTTTACCGTTGAGTGGAGACTTCCTTAATCAACGCTTTTAATAATGCTAAATGCTGTTTAAATTTAGACGACTTATTTGTTTGACGATTTTTACTGAATTGAAATGTTTACACTTTTCACGTTAATCACTACTAAAATGTGTATTTATTGTATCTAATAGGTACAATTTATATTTACACAGACTGTATGCAATTTATTTTTTCATTCAGATTACAGATGTCAGATTTTTATCAGCACCCTATTGGTTAAAATATAGAGATATCAAAATAAAAAAGTTATTTTTAAATCAAGGATAAACTAAACAGATAACATATATGTACAAATAAAAATGAAGTAAAACTGACTTATAGTAACCAAAGATAGTAACTATGACACTTCACTATTCATTTTTACTCTTTCATGGTTAATATTTCATTGTTTGATTATGTTTTAATATCTAAGAATGCATTTTTGAAATTCTATAATGTTATTTTGTCATTTTTTACTCTTTTGTATGACTCTCTCACTCTTCATATTTTTAGTGGGTTTTAATATTTTAAAACATATTTTTGACATTTTAAAATTTCATTTTGTCATTTTTTAACTTTTTCATTCATTCATTTTTACTCTTCATTTTTGACTCATTCACTATGATTTTTGTACTCTTTTAAGGTTAATATTTCATTGTGTGATAATGTTTTAATATTTTAGAATACATTTTTGAAATTCTATAATGTTCTTTTGTCATTTTCACTCTTCATATTTTCCTCCTTCATTATCTTATTTTTTTCAATACATTTTTTACTTTTCAAAATGTGCTTTTGTCATGTTTTACTCTTTTAATCACTCATGTTGTTACTCTTTTACTTTAAATTTTTACTCTTTCATAATATTACATTGTTTTATGTTTTTAAATGCATTTTGTAATTTTAATTTTATAACTATTTTACTGTTTTGCTCTTTCACTGTTTCAAGCATTTTAAAATGGATTCTAAACAATCTAAAATGTTGAATTTTTGTCAATTTCTGTGCTTTTATGATTGTTATCATTTTTACTCTTCATTTTATGACTCTTTCACTTTTTCGCTCTTTCGTTTATTCTATTTTACATTTCTAATGAGCTTTTGTCATTTTTGCTCTTGATTTTTTTCTTTTATTTTGATTAGGTTATTTTTAACGGTATTTTTAGGATTTTAAATTGTTTTGGAACGTCAAACTTACTTAAGGATGTCAAAAACATTTGATATTAAAATTGAAATTAAAAATTGAGGTCAGATCTTTTGACAGATGTCAGATTTTATTTAATATATCAGAGTCAACTGTGATGTTTTTGTAAATGCAACCACCCTATTGGTCCGAATAACAGTGAATAATAGTTATCATTATATGGGGAAAACCACAAATGCATATTTTAGTGAAAGTTTAGTTAATTTGGTGTATAAATTAAATTATGAAAATTAGTGGTTAAAATACAGAGATAAAAAACAAAAAATTTATTTTTAAATCAAGGATAAACTAAACAGATATCTACATAGGTTTAAACAAATAGAAAGGGAGTAAAACTGACTTATAGTAACTATAACATGACTTTTTTTTAAATCATTATAATACATACATATTCAATAAGTTTAAACCAACTCTATAAAATAAAACCGACTTTGTTGGTGATTGTTAACAATAATTAAAAATAAACAAGTCAAGGTAAAAATTTAGAATGCATAGTAGGTATCAATTGGTTCTAAAAATATACGTATTAAATGCATCAGTATCTCAGTGGAAAAACTTTATTTTCAGCAAGTAAACAAAACAGTACAACCTTGAGAGGATATTAGTGCAAATCTAAATATAATATATAATTTTTTTTTAAATATACAGATATTATAGTACTGTAAATAAGGTGATTTTGGAAAACGTTCAAAAAAATCCAGTATGCATAGATAATTTGACGTATGACACAATCAGCTGATTGATTGGTTACTGAAATCACAGCCAACTCTGTTGAAACGACTTTTTTGTCATAAATAATGAATTATTTAACACTTTAAATAATAAAAAGTGCGTATAAAGCATTATAAGTTATACAATGACAGTGTGTTATGTTTTTGTCGCCCGACTATTGATTTTACCGTGGAATTTTCCATTTACAACTGTCAAACTTATCGATTAAAAATCACTTGATTACGATAACAGAACTGATAATACATACACTTGGGGTCACGTAAACCCCCCCTGAGGTCATTTATTATCAATTCCCAATAACACTCCAATTTATCAATAAATAAATACTCCATAAATGATAACCTATGGATACTAACCTTTGAAGGTTTGAGGTCAGCTGTTGTTTACATAAAGATAACATTTTCCCTGGATTTTGACACTTTTAATTCAATTTAGACGGGGCCCATTTAATTAAAAACTGCTGCTCTGCTTAGAGAATTGACACTTTGACTGTGACGTAAGGTTTTACGTAACCTCGAAACTTCGTTCCAACCGTCTTGAGCAGTGACATCTGTTAGAGGTTTTTTGAAGTTGATTTTCGCGGTCAAACTCAAATTTAACAGTACTATTACTTTATTTATTTCATAATCAGTCGATTTAATTCTATAAAATAGAGATAAACGGGGTTTATTGTTAAGGTAGATGGTGGAATTAAGCTTGTTGGAATGATTTATAGGAGGCAAACTGTAAAATGATATACAGGGTGTTTCTGAATTGAAACCAAAATAATAAAACAACAAGTAAACTTTTTTGTTTTTATTCATATAAAATAAATAGATTTTACTAAAGAAAGATATTGCTGAAAATATTCAACAGAAATTTTATATAATTGAACAATTATGAACTAAACCTTTTTATTTTTTAATTAAATACAAAAAGGTATAAAAAGATGTTTAGAATGCAAAATCACATTTAACGATTTTTATGTTCCATAATTCATATGGAAATGTACAAAAAATCAAAATATTGATTTTATATACATATTTTTTTCATTAAATATTCGCAAATATTATTTATTTATTGAACCTTTGGATTAGTTCAAAATTATTTTTTTGTTTTGAGGTTATAAATACAAAATAATACATAATAAAAACTAAGACAGGTTTGATGATAATTTTTTTATTGGGAATTGTTTTGACAGATCGCGTTTTGAGAATCTGAGAAAAATCTTTCAACCTAAAACAAAATAAAAAAATATTATTTGTAATATCACAAAAAAACAAAACTTACCACTTTTCTAATAAAACCGTATTCTTTGCTATTTGTGTTCCCTTTAATGTTTTCAAGGTGATATGGGGGACTTATGATAACCTAAAAGAGACCAACAAAAAATATTTCGAAAGTTAAAAAAAACAACTTACGTCTTGATTAAATACGACGATTTCTGTATTCCTCCACCTAATGTTATCTATCACTTTTGCTATAGCTAAGAATAAACCTTTTCCCTCTTCGGAAACATTCGCTGATATTGCTTGAAGGTTATGTCTCTTTTCTAGAACCTGTTTTTGCAGCCTCCTATTGAGCTACAACAAAAAATACACGTTTGGTTTTTTGGCAATAACTTTTTTGTGGTAAATTTTAGACAAATATTGTTGATAACATCATTGAAGAGAAATAAATTATCTATAAATTGGTATATTTTCTATTTTTCTAGAATGTATAGTTTTTTTAATATTACGTTTTAAAGTTGGTATTATTTTTTTGTATATTGCAAAACACACTTTTAGTTTTTTGTAAATAACTTTTTTGTTTTTAATTTTAGAAAAATATTGCAATTACTATTATTTAAGGGAAATAATTTATCTATAATTTGGTATATTTTTTGTTTTTCTAGAATGTATAGTTTTTTTTAATATTACGTTTTAAAGTTGGTATTCTTTTTTTATATATTGCAAAACACACTTTAAGTTTTTTGGTAATAACTTTTTTGTTTTTAATTTTAGAAAAATATTGTAAGTAACATTTAAGGGAAATTATTTATCTATAATTTGGTATATTTTTTGTATTTCTAGAATGTATAGTTTTTTTAATATTACGTCTTAAGTTGGTAATATTTTTTTGTTTATTGCAAAACACACTTTTAGTTTTTTTGTAATAACTTTTTTGTAGCAAATTTTAGAAAAATATTGTAAATAACAATTTTGAAGAGAAATAAATTATATATAAATTGGTATATTTTTTGTTTTTTAAGAATGTATAGTTTTTTAAATATTACGTTTTAAAGTTGGTATTCTTTTTTTGTATATTGCAAAACACATGATTAGTTTTTTGGTAATAACTTTTTTGTTTTTAATTTTAGAAAAATATTGTAATTAACATTATTTAAGGGAAATAATTTATCTATAATTTGGTATATTTTTTGTTTTTCTAGAATGTACAGTTTTTTAAATATTAAGTTTTAAAGTTGGTATTATTTTTTTGTATATAAACACCTCGATAAACACACTTTTAGTTTTGGTAATAACCTTTTTGTTTTTAATTTTAGAAAAATATTGTAATTAGCATTATTTAAGGTAAATAATTTATCTAAAAATTTGTACATTTTTTGTTTTTTAGAATGTATAGTTTTATAAATATTATGTTTAAAAGTTGATAATTTTTTATATTGCAAAACACGTTTAGTTTTTTGGTAATAACATTTTTGCTGATAATTTTAGAAAAATATTGTGAATGCATTATTTAAGAGAAATAAATTATCTATAAATTGGTATATTTTGTATTTTTCCAGAATGTACAGTTTTTTAAATATTAAGTTTTAAAGTTGGTATTATTTTTTTGTATATTGCAAAATACACTTTTGCGTTTTTGGTAATAACTTTTTTGTTTTTAATTTTAGAAAAATATTACAATTAGCATTATTTAAGGTAAATAATTTATCTTCTAATTGGTACATTTTTTGTTTTTCTAGAATGTATAGATTTTTAAATATAACGTTTTAAAGTTGTTATTACTTTTTTATATATTACAAAACACACATTTAGTTTTTTAGTAATGACTCTTTTATAGTAAATTTTAGAAAAAAATTTTAAAAAACCTTATTTAAGAAAAATAAATTATCTATAAATTGGTATAGGTATTCTTTGCTTTGCTAATATTTTTTTATGTTTTGCAAAACACACATTTAGTTTTTTTATTATATCTTTTTTGTTGTTTATTTTAGAAAAATATTGTAAATATTAATATTAAATACAAATAAATGATCTATAAATTGGTATACCTATTTTTTATTTTTTTAGTATATGACTAATTTCTTCAACATATTTATGAAAAAAAAACCACTGGCACAGTTTTGTGACAGATTATATATTTTTAGTATATTTACCATTTCAAAATTTAATGACTGTTGTATTTCTTGTGATGGTATCACTTCTTTTAGAACTTTTAATTCACTAACCCACGACAAGTTGATTACGTTAACATCATTTAATTTTGGATCCCCATTTGTGGCAGCGCATTCTAAAATATCGTTAAGGAACTTCCACTAAATATTATTATTCATATAAAATTGTTGTAAAACATGGTGGAACTGCAAAAAATATCCACCTATATAACATGTCTTGAAAATGCACTTTTCCCGATGTTTTCTTCATAAAAATCATGTAATAGAGATAGAAAATGTTGTAATAAGGCTTATTTATTACATATTTATCCCCCACATAGCTCATAAACCCCAAAAAACCGTACAAAAACATTCCCATAACCACCTTTAGTGTACACAGTTTTACCACCTAAAAACCACGAAAAAAAAGGATACTAAGTATTAACATTTTTGTTTGGGGGTCGAATGCTTGCACTTCGCCCTCGATTTCCACATTGTAACACGTTTTACACCATACAACGCTTCCCAATGAAAAAAAATCAGCAGTGGCAGCCATGTTTTCTATTGGAAAATGACACTAGCCATACGGTTAGGGATTTTTAGGTTAGGCTGTCAGTTTGTCGGGTTGGCGTTCTGGAGGCCAAGGTGCAAAATAGCGGGTCGAGTCGAGCCAAGATCTTAGATGAAGTGAGGTTGAATTGTTTTAAGGGAATTGCTGTTGTTTTAAGAATTACAGGGTTTTGGTTGATTTTAGGTTAAAAGTGGGCTCTAAAGTATAAAGTAATGTGCTGAACTGTGCAAAATTAGTCTTAAATCATGAAATTTTTTTATATATGTATTATAATGTATAATAAATATATTAAAACACACGTTTAGTTTTTAGGCAATATCTTTTTTGTTGTCAATCTTAGAAAATTATTGTAAATAACATTATTTAAGAGAAATAAATTATCTATGCATTGGTAATTTTTTTGTTATTTTAGAATGTCCAGTTTTCGAGATATTACGTTTTAAAATTGGTATTACTTTTTGTTTATTTTAAATCACACCTTTAGTTTTTTGGTAATAACTTTTTTGTTGTTAATCTTGGAAAAATATTGTTAAAAACAATATTTAAAAGAAATAAATTATCTATAATTTGGTATTTTGTTGGGTTTCTTAGAATGTCTAGTTTTCGATATATTGCGTTTTAAAATTGGTAATACTGTTTTGTATATTGAAAAACACACATTTAGTTTTTTGCTAATACATTTTTTGTTGTTAATTTTAGAAAAATATTGCAATTACCATTATTCAAGAGAAATAAATTATCTATGACTTGTTAATTTTTTTGTTATTTTAGAATGTCTAGTTGTCGAGATATTACGTTTTAAAATTAGTATTATAAAAAGTATACTTTTTTGTATATTTTAAATCACATGTTTAGTTTTTTGGTAATATCTTTTATGTTGTTAATTTTGGAATTATATTGAAAATAACATTATTTAAGAGAAATAAATTCTCTATAAATTGGTATATTTTGTTGTTTTCTTAGAAAGTCTGGTTTTCGAGATATTGCGGTTTAAAATTGGTAATACTTTTTTGTATATTGAAAAACTCGTTTAGTTTTTTGGTTATAACTTTTAAGTTGTTAATTTTAGAAAAATATTGTAATCAACATTATTGTAGGGAAATAAACTATCTATAAACTGGTATATATAGTATTCCAATTATATATAACGCTTTAAAGTTGGTGATATTTTGTTGTAAAATAGAAAGATTTAACATAACCCCGAAAAAATAGTCTGGCGGTGTCAAATCCCATCATACAGGCGGCCACTTTATTTCCAACTGAATTTCTCGAAAAAACAATCAAACAAATTTTGATATTTATTTTTTCAAGACCCATAAAAGCGAACTTTTAACGAGGAATAGTAAAATTTAATTAGTCTTATAAACTGAAGTGTATACCACTTCTGAAAATCTATTTCAGGAATTTCAGCTTTGTTTTAACGGTAACATGTGAATTTTATTTTTAGAGATCGATTTGTTAGAAGCACGGACCATTTGCAACTTTCGAATTTTCGTGTTTTCTTCTTTGTTTTATAGTTTTTTGTGGGAAAAACATTCATGGTGTGGATATGTGAACTTTTTTTAGAAGTTTCGTTAGATTTTTTGGAAGTGAAGTGAGTGAGACAGGTGGGTCTTACTAATTCGTTATTTAGTTTTAATGATGGTTGATATACAGGGTGTTTTATTTGTAACATACTATAAACTGTCTATTATTATAATCTTTTGTATTAAGTATTTTTAATTACAGGCAAAGAGCAAAACAGGCTTAGATAATGTCTCGTTATCAATCTGACCCAGAAGATCTGGGCTACGCAGAGCAGAGCGCTTGCGGCAAATGCATGCACTACACATGGAAAACCATCACTTGTCTCTTTTCCCACATCACCCTTGTCTCCATGGTTGTTTCCTATTGTGTCCTAGGGGCTATTACATTTGAATCCCTAGAAGTGGAACATGAAAAAGACGTATGTATATATTATTATATACCTATGTACAGGGTGTTATGCTTACAATTCGCCAACAAATTATAATAAATGTTTTAGGTGAAAAGAAATATAAGTAAATTAAGAACAAACGTAACAGAACACTTATGGAAATTGACACAAGACTCACCTTTATTAAAAGTAGATAATTTTACTTTTGATGCCACAATATTCCTAAAGGAATTTGAGAATGCTCTTCTTAAAGCAATGACCAAAGATGGGTGGGATGGTGAGGAAGATGAAAATAAAGTTCAATGGACAAGTACTGGTGCTTTATTTTACTCCATCATTGTTATAACGACAATTGGTAAGTCTAACAAATATTAATAATAATAAATTAATACAATAACCAAAATCACAAATAAAACAAATATAATCATAAATCCAAATTTATTACAACTATTGTATAATAATTATTTATTTACATCGACCATAAAATCAACAAATAAAATTTAATATACACAAACATAATAAAATTATTTTTATTTATAACATTAATAATTCTATCGAATTTTCGATTCATTTGTTTTAACTTTAACGTTCGTAAATAAATGAACAGTATAAATTATTAAATATTTAATATAAACACACATAAAAAACAAATTCAGTCCTTTTGAGCGGACCTTTCGAAATTACCGTACCCTCCCCCTCTACCAGGCCTGGGAACATCAAACGGGCCCCCAGGACCCACAAGAATACCCTCCCGTAGGGAATGAGTATTACCTAGAACAACAAAATTAAAACAAAACACTTTCAAGGCAAAACTCACCGTCTAATCTTCCGGGTCTGTAGGACCCATTGGGTCTGTGGGACCCATCGGGTCTGTAGGACCCTTGGGGTCCAAAAGACCCGCCGAACGGTCTGTTTATGGGTGAAGGTCTCAGAGACCCCGGGCCCACTAGAACGCCGTTTTCGGGGGAGTGGATTGGGCGGCTTGGGGGCGGTCCTCCAATGACGCTTGATTTTTTGGTCGAGTAGCAGCAGTATTGTTTTCCTACATCGCAGTGTCCCTAAATATGTTTTTTCAATTAAAAAAGTTTTGGTATTATGTGTAATGTAATTATACGTATGATATTCCAGGGCTGTTGCAGTTAAATTTGGCTGCGCATTTGCATCTGTCAAACTCTTTGAAAGGTCCTTGTTTCACCCATGATGGTATGGGTCCTGTTAGTACTCCTTCTTTAGGGTCATGGATTATGTCATCGTTGCTTCCATAATTGCCATTGGGTCCATATACACCACCAGGTCTGAAAAAATATATAATATAATTTTTGTTATGGTGAGGTTTATAAAATCTACAAAAAATTACCTTTCTGGTGTCAAAAGTGGTCTATTTGGCCCATTATCCAAAAAAGGTCTGTTCTGGGGTCTATTCAAAAAAGGTCTTCCATCATTAACGAAATTTGGTCGATTCTGGTATTGCTCATTCTCAATAACTTCGTATCTAGCTAATGGTGAACTGCTAAACAATTTTTATATTATTTTTTTAGTACTCAATTTCGATTGATTATTCCTTATATCATTGATTAAGAAACTCAACGCTTAAATGCTTGTATAGTTACGTTAGTGTGTGTATTTTATCTAAGGGATCGTGGTGAATTATTGTGTTTTTAATTGTAAATAAAATTCAAGAACTAAATCGTTGCATTTTCATGTTTTGCCAAAGGATCCAATTCGATAAGTACATTTGTTGGTGCAGAATTAACTAATGATAACTTTACCTAATATAATTTGTATTGAAGTTTGGACATTTTTAAGAAATTAGTAAAATTTTTTTTGCACAAACATAACCTTAAAATTAACCATTTTTATATTTGAGTGGTGGCTCTTTAGCGTAAAATTCTTGTTTGAATGGTAAATTTTGAAAAAAATTTTCACCTGTCAAAATTCCTTGATCCATCATTTCTGTTGTTGTTGCCCCACACCCATTTTTTGTCGTCCCTGTCGCAAACGACCAAGGATGTCAATAGAAGACAAAAACCTAAAAAATAAGAGAACACATAAATTATATTCTCTGTTTAATAGCAAATACCTAAAAACAGTTTCATGAGACATAGTGGTGTTTTATATAACGAATTTTCCTGGAATTACCTATACATTAAAACGCATACGGAGCTGCCAGGGAGTATTAAAAGTCCAACTAATTTTAACGAAGGTAAATCCCAGTACTAAATCATGATAATATCTTTTATAGGGTGCAACACTGCACTATATGCATTGTTGTTTATATTAATTTGGAAATAATGAAATTTTAATAAGGACTTGCCTCGTCATGAACGAACGAAGCGTAAAATTATTAAAATTTACATGTCAAGAGGTTAATTTGGGGCATACCGAGTTTCAGTCAATTTTTGGCTAACACCAGTGGCGTGACCAACAATTTTCAATAATGATTTTGTATAAAAAATAATCTCTTAAAAGAAATAAAAATGACTAGATACCCTTTTAATGATGCAATTAGATTCTTAAAAGCTTTTTAAAACCTTACTAAAAAGCATCCTAAGAACATTTTAAGAATACGTTTTTGGAATGTTCTTAGAAGGTTTCTTATGGAGCTTCTAGGAAGCTTTTGTCGTCCCCTTAAAAAATTTTGCGACATATTAATGTATATTTATATTTCAAATATTAAATAAACAATTCGACCTCTAAACCATAAGTTGTATGACATTATTTCATAAAAAGTAAAATTGAAAAATTTTGTGGGATAAGTCAGATTAGATTGAAGTTGAAGATAGTTAGGATTATTATTGATTAAAATGTTAATTCAGAAATAAAAAATCGCTATACAAATAAATAAATATTTATTTTTAACATAAAATAAAATACCTATAGTAAAAGTATTTGAGTTATCGAATATTGTTTTAATTTGACAAATAACTATAAAAAAATATTTTGGATTGTGTTTTTTACTTAGTATTTAATACTAATTACTAATTAGGTACTTAAGTATAGGTATACGTAGTTTATGGTATATTTTACTATTATATAGGTAACTGAACTAAATATGCTTAGCAGGAATATTCCTAAATGAACTTTCTATAGCAATTACTTTCTTAACATTCTAAGCATATGTTTAGAGTTGACTAATTTTTACCACTAAAACTTTGCACCTTCTAAGAACCTGCCTATAGGCCAGTAAGAATATTCTTAGGATCATGCTATATGTCTTTTAAGCATGTTCTTTAAAAGAAATATAGCATGATCCTAAGAATATTCTCACTGAAAGGTTTAAAAAACATTCTTAGAATAAAGTGTGCTATCAGGGAAAACACTTGGTTAAAAGAAGAAACATTCAAGAGATTTTGTATTTGTTTTCTTCAAGCAATAAATACTCTTTTATGCTAAAATATTGTTTCTTGCCGCTTATAATTTTTTATCAAGAGAGTTAACTACTTTAGTTGTGGTCCCCCCCCCGAAGATACGCCTATGATTCCCAACCTTTGTGGCTATTTGTTATAACGTTAAAATGTAATTTATATTTATAAGGGCTTATAAATCATTGTGTGCAACTTGCTATTCAGTAGGTACATATTTAATTTATAACTTAATAATCATGATATTAATATTAAAAAATATAAACAGGGTGTTATGTAATTAATATCAAATAATACCACACATCAGTGGCGGCTGGTGGATTTTGGGTATACCGATATCTCAATTATTAGATATGCGACCCACACCAAATTTATATGAGTTTATAATGACACTAAATAAACAAGTTCTGCGCAAGCAGAATTTAAATTGAAGTTTGCGAAAAAAGGATAACCGATAACATCGAACATGGAACTGACGACACGGTACTGATGAATGGGATACAAATTTGAGATTATAATTCGGAATTAAGTGTTTTACCGATATTTTTTAAGTTAAAACGAGGACTTGACGTTTAAACTTCAATATTTCGCAGGAATTTTTTTTATAGTTTGTAGTGAAATTGAAAAATGTAACTAAAATACTAAAATATTTACAAAAAATATACCACCCAGGTGTTACATTTAAAATAAAAAGTTATTAACTTTTCAAGTATAATCTAATAATCCTGTTAATTTATATAAAAAAAAAAACGAAATAAAAAACCTTTGATGCAATATCAATTTCGATAATTAAGCTTGGGCAATTTAAGCTGTCAGATCGAGAGAGCCAATCAAAAACGCAGATGAATGATTAACGTTATTAGCGTTTCCAAATGGATTAAGGCCACTCTAGATATTATTCATTTACTAAAGGGAATAATAATACTAATAATACTGAGAACATTAATTTGGTTGAATCAATTTTGAAACGAATTTGATTGAAAGCTAATGAGCATTGTAAAAAATTCACTTTAAAATCAATGAAAAAAAATAGTGGCCATTTTATATTTTAAAAGTTCTTAAATCTTAAATTTTTCAATTTCACTACAAACTATAAAACATTAAATAATGCATTCTTCATATTTTATCATAGATTCGAAAAATAGCAATTTTTAAAAAATTGATAAACTTTGTACTCACTTTTACCCGTCAGTTCTGTGTCCAATGTTAAAATTCAAAATTCCTGCGAAATATTGAAGTTTAAACGTCAAGTCCTCGTTTTAACTCAAGTGTTGGTAAAAAATTACCTACAGAGCCCGCCCTTTGCACGACAGTCATCTTGAAAACAATGCAAGCGGCGAAGTTGTGGTGAATGCACCTATAGTGCCGGTCAAAATTTTAGTACTGTGGTGAGTAGTTATTTTCTTACGTATATATATTTTATTGTAATTTATATAAGGCTATATGTAATTGTTGATAAGTAGCAACCACTAATAAAAAAAATCAGTAAAATACTTAATTCCGAATTATAATCTCAAATTTGTATCCCATTCATCAGTACCGTGTCGTCAGTTCCATGTTTCGGTTATCTTTTTTTCGCAAACTTCAATTTAAATTCTGCTTGCGCAGAACTTGTTTATTTAATGTCATTATAAACTCATATAAATTTGTTGTGGGTCCCATATCTAATAATTGAGATATCGGTATACCCAAAATCCACCAGCCGCCACTGATGTGTGGTATTATTTGATTTTAAGATATTTAATGTATAATATGCTCAAAGTTGCAATAAATCTTATATTTTGCTTTGTAGCAAGAATTTCATTTCTTCTAAGAGATTATTTTTTTCAGTGTAATAATGTACAGATCTTCTCATCCATGACATTACCTACGCCTTCTAAGGATCGACTAAATAATCCTTTGTCTTGCAATTTACACAATTTCCTGATAATTAACCTGACTGTCTATCCACAATCACTTTATTATATACAATTATTTGGGCTAATGGCTGCCTTAATTTCGTAATTCGAGACGTTTCGATCCAATACTACAACCAATTATTAACTGACATAATAAGGAGGTCCTTTGAGGTATCACAATGTTTCCTTTATATATTGTCAATAATTGGTATTACGACACTTCTAAATTCTCTACTAAGTATAGGTTATGTTTTATTTTATATGTTCTTAGGGACTTTTAAAACATTCAATAGATACCTTTTAATAATGCAATTAGATTCATAAAAGCTTCTTAAAACCTTCCTAAAAAGCATCCTAAGAACATTTTAAGAATACGTTTTTGGAATCTTCTTAGAAGGTTTCTTATGGAGCTTCTAGGAAGCTTTTGAGAATATTTCCAAATACGTCAGATACTCACGTTCTAATATGTTGTATTCTACATTCGTAAAATTCTTCAGGAGACGACAAATACGACTCACTGTCATAATATGACAGTGAAATGTATTTGTCGTCCCCTAAAAAATTTTGCGACATATTAATATGTATTTATTTAAAAATATTAAATAAACAATTTAACCTCTAAACCATAAGTTGTATGACATTATTTCATAAAAAGTAAAATTGGAAAATTTTGTGGGATAAGTCAGATTAGATTAAAGTTGAAGATAGTTAGGATTATTATACATAAAAATGTTAATTCAGAAATAAAAAATCGTTATACTAATTAATAAATATTTATTTTTAACTTAAAATAAAATACCTATAGTAAAAGTATTTTTGTTATCGAATATTGTTTTAATTTGACAAGTAAATATAAAAAAATATTTTGGATTGTGTTTTTTACTTAGTAGGTATTTAATACTAATTAACGAATTTTTCCAAAAGTACAAATGAAATTTCATTCATAGTTTTTATTTTACTTTAATATTGACAAATAATAACCTTCGCAAAAATTAAATAATGGTGTTTTATTTTGTGGGTGGTATAATGAAAAAATAATTAATATGTAAGCCTTAACTTGACATATATGTTAATAAACAGTGTCATGGTTATAAATTTAATATAGGTAGGTTATTATGTCTTTTGATTTTAATGGTATGTACAGTAACTGACAAAAGTATGAAAATATGGATGGTACTTTTCTTTCTCCACAACATTTTTTGTAATTTTCTATTAATTATATTACAAATAAAAAAAATCAAACAACAAATTTAAGTAACAAATCAAAAATCAATTAATTCAACTTACCCAATCTAAAAACCATATTTGTAGTTACCGTAACTATCAAAGGAAAGTGTAACCAAAACGAATCGACACAAAACAATAAATTAAACCAAATTAAACTGAACCCAATTACAATTACATAACTAAACCCCCCTAACGAACAAAACAAAACTTATATACCTACCACCCACCATTAGCAAAAATTCAGAGGTTATTTAGGTGGGGTTGGTAATTTTACGTCAAACATACAAAGGTAGCAAATACCTTGAATCGTAGACATCAATGAAAATTAGCAAAACCAGTGAGCGTGTGTCATGGGTCACTGGATGGGTGTGCATTTATTTCATTTGTTTTACTAATGAGAAAAGTGAGAGTGACATACGAGGTGTGTTCAGAAAATATCGGGAATTTTCGATTTATTGAAACAAATATTTATTTATTCGTCTACATTAATGTTGTCGCCTTCAAAATAGTCCCCATTGGATATTATGCACATGTGCCAGCTCTTCTTCCAATTCTCGAAACACTTCTAAAACTCGATCTTTGGGATAGCCTTTAGTTCTTTCAGCGATGCGCTTTTAATGTCATCTATAAGCATATATGCTTGCAAAACGACGGCCCTTTAAGGTTCTCTTTATTTTTGGGAATAGGAAAAAGTCAGACAGAGGCATGTCTGGCGAATATGGAGGCTGGGGCATCATTAAAGTATTGTTTTTGGCCAAAAATGTTGTTCAAAATTTAACAATTTTATAACAAATTTTGCTGCCACGCGTTTCATACCCAAAACATTCGAAGAAATTTCATGGGATGAGCCAATCGATATACCAACATCATCAGCGACTTCTCTGATGGTTTATAACCATTTCTTTCACTTTTTCCATGTTTTTATCGGTTGTTAATGTCCTTGTGCGTTCGTCATCTTCAACGTCTTCAAGGCCATCTTGGAAACTCTTATACCACTTGTAAACTCTTGTTTTCCTTAAAGCAGACTCACTATAGGCCTTTGTTAACATTTCACAGAATTTATTTAAGCAAAATTGGATACAAATTCTTTGATCCATTTCTTTTAACGAACGAAAAATCGCCGATCTCATAAAACACGTCTAACCTTAGCGGCTACCACAGACAAAGTAAACAATGAAAACAGCTAAAGTTTTTATTATACTTCAGGGGCATGTATACCAACGTAATACAAAATTTTATGACAACCGGACCCTCCGAACCCGCGAAATTTAACAATTCCCGTTATTTTCTGAACACACCTCGTAGTAGAGTAGAGGTATCAATTTGGTTGCATATCATTTAAAACAAATATTTACTACTTTTAGTGTTGGGTAGCGCTGCTGAAGTGTTTAAATAATGTTTATATAAAACAAATAAAATTTATATTTATAAAAAAATACAGTCCATTGTAAGTTTTACGCTACAAAATATAAAACTAATCTTTGGCAATTACTGTAAAATATTTTTTTACTGTGTACTGGAGAAAAAAATAATCCATATTTCTTTTTTTTATTATTTCAAGCATAAAATATACACACAGCCATAGTAGTCCCTGAGCTTGTGACCTATTTAAATTCATTAAATAAATTTTAGCTTGCTCTTAACTGTTTTGGGACCGCTGTCAAATAAATTCAGCAAATTTAACACTCCAGGTATGTTGCGAACACCAGGCAGACTGCCCACAATTTAACATTGACCTACTTTTGGACCTCGACGAAGAATTATTTTGTTTTTAATGCGAATGCACATTCTGAGTAGAAATTTTAATTATTTTGCGTTTATATTGCAAGCCTCTGGCAAACCAAAATTTTAAAAGCGTTTGTATCCATTTGGGTCTATTTTTCTAAAATATTTTAAACAAAGAATGTTTTTTAAACCTTCCAGTGAGAATATTCTTAGGATCATACTATATTTCTTCTAAAGAAGCTTAAAAGACATATAGCATGATCCTAAGAATATTCGTACTGGCTTATAGGCAGGTTCTTAGAAGGTGCAAAGTTATAGTGGTAAAAATTAGTCTACTCTAAACATATGCTTAGAATCTTAAGAAAGGAATTGCTATAGCAAGTTCATTTAGGAATATTCCTGCTAAGCATATTTAGTTCAGTTACCTATTTAATAGTCAAATATACCATAAACTACGTATAAACGTATATAAATATACTTAAGTACCTAATTAGTAATTAGTATTAAATACCAAGTAAAAAACATGTTAAAAATAAATATTTATTAATTTGTATACCGATTTTTTATTTCTGAATTAACATTTTTATGTATAATAATCCTAACTATCTTCAACTTCAATCTAATCTGACTTATCCCACAAAATTTTCCAATTTTACGTTTTACGAAATAATGTCATACAACTTATGGTTTAGAGGTCAAATTGTTTATTTAATATTTTTAAATAAATATATATTAACATGTCGAAAAATTTTTAAGGGGACGACAAATACATTTCACTGTCATATCATGACAGTGAGGCGTATTTGTCGTCTCCTGAAGAATTTTACGAATGTATAATACAACATATTAGAACGTGGGTATCTGACATATTTGGAAATATTCTCAAAAGCTTCCTAGAAGCTCCATAAGAAACCTTCTAGGAACATTCCAAAAACGTATTCTTAAAATGTTCTTAGGATGCTTTTTAGGAAGGTTTTAAGAAGCTTTTAACAATCTAATTGCATCATTAAAAGGGTATCTATTGAGTGTTTTAAAAGTCTTCCGGGTCATATATTCTTAGAAGATTCTTAAAAAGAATCATTTGTTTTCAAGATAACTCTTTTTTAGGTTATGGTCATATAGCTCCTAAGACGACTTGGGGTAAAGTGGTCACCATTTTCTACGCAATCCTGGGGATTCCCCTAATGCTTTTATGTTTGTCGAATATAGGGGATATAATGGCAACTTCATTTAGGTTTTTGTATTGGAGAGTGTGTTGTTACGTTTGCACAAAAAAACCTAAGAAAACTAGAGGTAGAAACAAATCTTTTAGAGTGACAGAGTAAGTAATAACATTTTTGATAAAACGTTTTGTACATTTTTCTTTATAATTTTAGTAGAATGTCAAGATCTAGAAACGCTTCATTTCGTAGATCGGTTAGAACATCTACTAAATCGGCAGACAGTGGGTATGAATATTCCATATCTCGATCGGAATCAGATTTAAGGTACCTAATCCTAAAGTAATATCAATGTCATATATAGTCATTTCTTAGATACATAGATGAAAGAACTAACCATAGAAGAGGACAAAGTCTACCACGAATGAAATATAACAGGTCGTCCCAAAACAGTGAGCAAACTTCCAGAAAATCTAATAACTACAACAGAAATACCCCTCTACATAACCAAAGAGGAGCATCATTGGATAGAAGAAAATTCCAAAGACGTAATGATGTAGAAATGGATTATCTGGAGTTAGCTAGAACACCAGTGCTATGCAACAAATATGTTTGTGGGAAGAACGATTTACTATCAAATAATATAACAGGTATACAAATTCATTGATAATTTCTCAAAAAAAACCTTGATTTTTTTTAAGGTATTACACCTAGAGGAGTAGAAGTACAAGGTAAAACTTTTGCCCAACGCAGAGCAACTTCCATGCCTAGACCATACGGGAACTTTTTGGAAATACCAGATAGGTAGACCTACTACTTAAATCAATAAAAAATTTTATTATGTTAATTTTAATACAGATACCCTTCCCCCCCTTCATCTGATAAGGATGAAGATGATGATGTATCATCTAAGAGTTACCGAAGTGGAAGACCCAAAAAAAGTGGAAGGGCTAGGTCAAAATCGCCAAGTAAGTTTTTCTTTGCAAAGTAGAATGCTCCTTAAGTAAGTAAAGGTTGATAATATAAACAAAATCTTTAAGTTACTTGAAATATAAGGCACAAAGTTTGTTTTAAGAATGATGTTGTTAGTAATTTTAAACCAATTTAGAATGAGAGACAACAGTCACTTATTTAAATCTTATTAAGAAAATTGCCTCTGTGAAAGATATTTTATAAATCCTTAATGGTTAAAATAACTGAATACTTTATTAAATATTTATTAAATAAAAGGTAATGTAAAAAGAGTATGGATTCGGGAAAGTAATTTTATTTCATAAAATTTTAATAACAGATATTAAACTTTTCATTAAAATTAAATTATGGCCATAAACTGTGGAAATATGGATAACGAAGTTTATGATTTTTTAATACTTTTATCATAACATGTTATAAAGCTGGCATTAGAATCATTAAATTGTTTTACCCACCTTTACATTTTTATTATTACTTTGTTTAGTGGCACCAAAAATGATGACCCCATTGGGATATGGACATAAAAACGTATACCTGGATGAATCCTCTGGTGATGAGTATTATGCTTCTGGAACAAAACCAAGGACCAAACCAGTACCCATTTGGTTGTGCCTCTGCCTTGTTATATCTTACATAATCGCAGGTAATATCTATGAATCATCAAGCTTCATATCATACATTAAGCTTTTTAGGTGCTTTTCTTTTTGACTACTGGGAAGAATGGGGTTTTCTAAACTCAGCCTACTTCTGCTTCATAACGTTGACAACAATCGGTTTTGGAGATCTAGTACCAGCTAAAGGGGTATCTCAGGAAGGTACATATGCCACCGTCAGCATAGCGTTATGTTCCTTATATTTATTATTTGGCATATCACTACTGGCTATGAGCTTCAACTTGGTACAAGAGGAGGTGATATCGAATGTTAAAAGTGTAGCCAAAACTCTGGGCATAATAAAAACTGACTCTGATGATTCAGACGATGATGTCTGATGTATTGATGTATTTATATTTGCTGGTTGAAATAATAAATGTATAATTTTTACAAACAAGTTTTATTTATTTAACACCAACCAATACACAGTAAAAATCAACTCTAAGCAACACTAATTAGAGTTCTAATTTTAGAAAGGTACTTTTACTCTTTTAGTGCAAACTTCTTGTGTAAATTAACACTATTATTTGAGTAAAACCTAATGGTGGTAGTGAATAAAACAAAAAGGTAAATAAAGAGAAACATTTATTTGGAACAAAAATCTATGACAATTATCAAAATCGGTGCCTTTTAAAATATAATTTTATATTTGGGTCGTATGGCTGGCTTAACCAAAATGGTTCCTTAAAACGTAAAAGTTTTAGATCAATGCGATGTTTTACTGGCTGTCAACTTGTAAGCAATAAATTATCTTGAGAATTCATCAGTAATCATTTTTCTGTTATAAAAAATGGGTGATCCCATTGGTAGAGGCGTCAGGCGGCTGTATGTCGGGGATTTACCACACGTGTACAAATTTTCCATAATATTAATAAAAATAGGTTAATATAACAACCATTACGCTTGAAAATAAAAAGTAAATCAAGTGTGTATGTATTTATATTATTAATGTTACAAGTACCCGACTACTGCCGTAAATTATTGATATATAATATAGGTCGGGTATGGACATCCTTTTAACATATTGGTATTTATTGAGTATTAAGGCCTAAAGAAAAAGGAAGTATAATACTTACCAAAAAATAAGAATGTCCCCTTATGGATTCACCGTAATTAAAATCTAATTGAAATGCCACACTTCCACAACGCGGTATCTCCGGATATGCACTGCGTAGGTAGATAGGTACCAACCAAACATTTTAAAACGCATTTCGATTATTACCAGTTTTTTCAGTCTATTTTGCCACTATTGGTGTAATTTAACTTTAATTGTGATACAATGTGCACTAGTAGTGTAAAGAAAAAAGAGCTCTTAGTAACATCAAAACAGACAAAGAAATTGGCATGCACTGTAGTGTACATTTTGTCACTATTTAACACATTAAGGGGTAATAAACACTCGCATTAAGTTTTTCTACCCTTTTGATTTATTTTAATAATAAATAGTGTGAATGTGCCAATGAATAATGTTCATATTCTTTAAACGTGTTTAATAAAGTTAATAAGCACTAAATGCTACCTAGTGTATTTTACCCCTACAGTTTTATAAGGGTGTAAATAACATTCCATAATAAAGCAAAGCAAAACTTGTGATAAATCTTTTAAATAATATTTAGGTAAAAGCCGAAATCATGTCTTGATTAAATACCTGCCTTAAAAAACTAATTCTAAACTTTTGAGCAAAACAAATGTTGAATTAACGTCATAAAGAATATTAAACCTACCTGAGAGAGAGTTGCACACTCATTTCTACCAACTTTATCGTGTTAAAACATTTATAACTTTTTAAAATGTGTAATTCAACATTCGCCATACAATCGCGTTTTCATTGCTCGAGGCTGAAAGTTTAATTCTGTAGAAGTATTCGTTTCACTGATATAATTTTAAAATCTCCCAAAATTCTTGTTTAGGTTTTATGCATAGTTGTTATCTTGGAGATAGCAATAAGAGTATTAGTGTTATAACAGTGTGATTATAGCTAATCCAAAAACTGCATTATTCATTAATATTTCCATCGACAAAATTGGCCAAATCTTTCAGCGCATTCGTTGAATTTAAAACGAAAATCGATATCCTAAACAATAACTTAAATATTCAATCCATGTTTTAGGCATGACAGAGGCGAGCCATTAAAAATGAATTTATATATAGGGTGAAAAATTTTACTGTAATGTGTTTTTAAAAATCAATTTTTTTATTAGACAGTGAAACTACTTTATACACATTTAATAAATGACCTGCAGGAACATTCCTGCTGAAATTTTTGTATGATTGAACGATAGTTATAAATCCCATCTGCCACTTATATAACCGAATGTAATTTATATATCTACGTATACTATGTGTCCTAGTCTATATATCTCTCTATGTTTGTTAGTAATGATTTTTCCCTTCTGACAGTTGAGCTCATAAAGGTGAATTATTGAATTGCTATCCTGCAGAAACACTCCCTTCCTGATGCCTACAATAATGAGGGAGACTAAAGATGGTTTGAATAGTGTTTATAAAATTGAATATTATATTGTGTTTTTATAAAAAAGATTGCAGGATATATTATAGAAAATAATAAACACAAATTGCAAAATCAAAAACATAAATTTTTAACATTTTGTTGTGTAGAACTGCACCCTGATCAGTCTAACTTATCCCCAACAAAATGCAAATACACTGGAATGTAGACATGACACGTAAAAGTTACCAGATTCCCTCGGGAATGCCCTGAGTCCAGTCTCACTTGTTCACGAATGTAAATCTTGTAAGTCTGATGATCCCTCCTCTGTAAGTCAACCCAGTTAAACCCCCTTGGATACAGTAGTGTATAGTGTGAAATGGATGCAGAATTTAGTATTTAAAAAAATCTGTAAAATGAACACCCAAATGGTAATACTTCATTTAAAATAAAATCACTATGAGTCAGATCCGGTGATATCACTGGCCAGCTCATTGCGTCTCTTTGCACTATGATGCGCTGAATTGACCCTATAGGGTCTTGGTTACATCCTAACCGTTAAATACACCTTAAAATAGAGACCTATCCAACAAATATACAATATAACATCACTGTGCAATTTTAAAAAGAAATTTACATCGACTTGACATCATCCATAGCCTGAAGGCCGGTGGGATTCAGATGTCCATTGTCCGTCGTGTTTTGATTTCCATTAGGAACATCTTCGGCCTTATTCTCCTCCTTTCCACATTAAAATTCAAACACGGAAACGATGATACTATTATTTAAATATTACGATGAATATAATTTTGATGGACTCTTATGACACTGTGAAGACAAAAAACTGAAGTCACGGATACGGAGTTTGGAGGTGTAGTAGTGCACAAATCACTCTCAACTTTGAACTTCGATAGAGATTTTAATTTTCATTTAAATTTAAAATAAACTGCATAATTGATTGTCCCATGTATCTCCTTTGAAGGTAGTACTTGAAAATACAACAAACGAAGCTTCAGTCCCCCAGAATGTCTGAAATAATGGGGAGTCATCAGCGGTTAATAACAAACTGCCTTCTACAACTAACCACATCAGCCTTTCCAGGCTTTTGTGCTTTTCTTGTGTCCACGACTGATTGCTACTCGATTATATAAAGGGGCGGAAGATAATTAGCTCTTTTGAAATAAGAGATATTGCCTGGAAAAATTGCATCATATATAACTGTAAGTAGAACCACATTAAGAAAACTGAATGTACTAAATTTTATTAATCAAGAGTCTAGGAATACTTTGTCTTTCCTAGGCCGCAGTCACCTATATTTAACTACTTTTTTAAATATTTTTCCCAGGAAGATGAGGATACAGATTAACTTTCATATAGAAGTTAACAATATTTCTGCAACATAACATACTGTATCTGTCAGTTTCATAGCTTAAAAAAGCACTTGTTATTTATAGAAATAAACACACTTGAATTCAGCGGTTATTCTATTTTAAATACATCGTCTCGGAAAGCCAGTCTGTAGCACAGAAGCACTGATGTTAATAAATAAAAATAAATTGTCTGATGTTGTATTGAATGTCATGAATTATTGTCAAAAAATACGACAGGAAAACTAGTGACGTAACGGTTGTGACCTAAAAGTATGGTGATTTTCTTAGTGACAGCACTACATAGTTAACAGAATAGTGATTAAATAATATACACTAAGTGACTTGTGTTGTTGTATCAATTATTAAAGGTAAGATTTGTATCCGAAACGAGTAAATTTAGTCATATTTCTTAGAAAAAAGATTTTTGGGTTGTCCACACTAAAAAACCGCCAATTTTAAAAATATGCTGTACTATAAACTCAAAACATTAATTTATTAAAATGAATAAACTAAATAATAGTTATAGACAGTGTCAGCAAGTTAGAAATTATAACCTACTTCAATTTATTTTTTACTCTATAAGCAAGTAACCCTGATAGCAAAATTTGATTTTAAGAAGATATGACCCGGAATAATGAAATATTCTTAGAACCTTCCCTTATTGCTAAGAATGTTCTTAGGGACTTTTAAAAAATTCAATAGATACATAATGATGCAATTAGATTCTTAAAAGCTTCTTAAAACCTTCCTAAAAAGTATCCTAAGAACATTTTAAGAATACGTTTTTGGATGTTCTTAGAAGGTTTCTTATGGAGCTTCTAGGAAGCTTTTGAGAATATTTCCAAATATGTCAGATACCCACGTTCTAATATGTTGTATTCTACATTCGTAAAATTCTTCAGGAGACAAATACGCCTCACTGTCATAATATGACAGTGAAATGTATTTGTCGTCCCCTTAAAAAATTTTGGGACATATTAATATAAATTTATTTTAAAATATTAAATAAACAATTTGACCTCTAAACCATAAGTTGTATGACATTATTTCATAAAAAGTAAAATTGGAAAATTTTGTGGGATAAGTCAGATTAGATTGAATTTGAAGATAGTTAGGATTATTATACATAAGAATGTTAATTCAGAAATAAAAAATCGGTATACAAATTAATAAATATTTATTTTTAACATAAAATAAAATACCTATAGTAAAAGTATTTTTGTTATCGAGTATTGTTTTAATTTGACAAATAACTATAAAAAATTATTTTGAAATGTGTTTTTTACTTAGTATTTAATACTAATTACTAATTAGGTATATACCTTTATATGAGATTTTTTTGTTAAAAAAAGTGCTGCATTTAGATGTAGAAATAAGGTAAAAAAGTTACTATAACATTTTTAACATTTTCAACGATCTGTCCACACCCTTTTATTGTCTAAGATTTATAGCAATTCACTAGTCAAAAATCCACAAAACTATCAAAATGATTTATTTATAAGCTGTAGGTTTACTACAGGTGATCAAAAATATGATTTATTGTTTATCGCCCAAATACACTATTATTCCAAAAATAACTGTATGACATTTATAAATTGTTGAAAACTCTCTTACGGTACATTTAATTTTACAATTATTTTTGTATTTTTGTTGTATATTAAGTTTGGCCAACCGTTGCCACTATTTTTAGATTTTTAATTGTTTTTATTGGAGAATGTAGAGTAAACTGTTTTAATACAGGTGTACATAGAATGTACTTGATTTTGTGTTTTATTGTAAGTTTGACTTAAAATAGAAATTTTTTTCAATAAAAAAATCATTAAAATTTAAGTAAAGTAGAAATTTCGGCCGCCACTGGTTGTTTTGTTATCATTGATTACTTTGTTGATAATATATGGAACAGTCCCCTGGCTAGTAGAATGCAAAAAATTGATACGATTTTTTGTCATAATTTTCTCTGATTTTATTCTTAATTTCTTCATGAATAAAGTCATAAACTAAAAACTAATTTTCCAGCTTCTTTGGTAATTTTGGGAATTTAATAACTTTGTAACTCAAATATTAGTACAGGAAAATTGAAACCACAGCTGGGAAACCCTTTTTAATGCATTATTTAACATTAATCACCGAAATCATTTAACAATTATAGTATAATACACTGCAGACTATGCAGATACTACATTAATGTATAATGGGTTGCATATTAATTTATTTTACAGTTTCTGAAATATCTGTGTTTTCTAAATTTGAATGCAAGGGAAGTGACGAGTATACCAGGGTACTAATTAAATATATAATTTATTGGAAAATATAAGATTTATTGCTTTAAGCATATTATGCAATAAATATCTTAAAACCAAATAATACCACACATCAGTGGCGGCTGGTGGATTTTGGGTATACCGATATCTCAATTATTAGATATGGGACCCACACCAAATTTATATGAGTTTATAATGACATTAAATAAACAAGTTTGCGAAAAAAACATAACGGAAATATCGAACATGGAACTGACGACACGGTACTGATGAATGGGATACAAATTTGAGATTATAATTCGGAATTAAGTATTTTACTGATATTTTTTATTAGTGGATGCTACTTATCAACAAATCACATATAGCCTTATATAAATTACAATGAAATATATATACGTAAGAAAATAACTACTCACCACAGTACTGAAATTTTGACTGGAACTATACGTGCATTCACCGCAACTTCGCCGCTTGCATTGTTTTCAAGATGGCTGTCGTGCAAAGGGCGGGCTCTTTAGGTAATTTTTTACCAACACTTGAGTTAAAACGAGGACTTGACGTTTAAACTTCAATATTTCGCAGGAATTTTGAATTTTAACATTGGACACAGAACTGACGGGTACAAGTGAGGACAAAGATTATCGATTTTTTAAAAATTGCTATTATTCGAATCTATGATAAAATATGAAAAATACATTATTTAATATTTACAAAAAATATTAAAATACCTACTATATTGACTGTAGAATCACCCATATATCTCGAATGCCCATTTAAAATTAAATTAAATTGTTAATTTTCAATTTCGTTTATATATCAACACTCCTATCAAGCTACTAGATGAAAGGTACATTAGAAATGTCAATCATGAAGTTATCATTGGTCAGAATGAGAAACGTGTATTTATGCTTGTTTATCTTCAAAAACACATGTAATTAGGTGTTAGCAAATATTGAAAAATATTTTTGATCTATTTTCAAAACAATTTGGCCAGTGTTCAACCAAACGTATGTTTCAATAATTTATATGTTCCTATATTATTAAAAAAGCTTTTAGCTGGACAATAAATTTTCAATTAGTCCCTTGGACATTTTGACACAAAAAATAAATTCAAAATTCAAAATTGTGTAGGTATACAGTTTTTAAAAATATTTTACATGCATTAACTTAAATCTGATTACCCACGATTTTTTAACTAATATTTAATTTTCCTTTGGTTTAAGTTTTATACATTATTTCATTCGGTGATAATTATCAATTGCGCACCATGGTCACTTTTAACCTGCCAGCATTAAATCCTTTAATTAAAGGTTTATTGTACTATTTTTAATAAAAATACCTCATTCAAGGTAAAAAAACAACATAAAGATTTTGATTTATGGAGAAGCAGGCAGGAATCTTGATGATGCTGTTAATATCTACGCTCAGCGTTTTCCGGAAAAAATTCGATCACGTACTTCATTTCACTGTACAGTCAAGCAGTTTACTACAAACGGGAGTGTCAACCGAAAAAAGAGTTCATCGAGCAACAGTCACAGGTGGAAATAATGAAATTAATGTATTAGCAGCGGCCGCTAATCCTCATGCAAGCACACAAAATAAAACCAAGTGTTTTATTCAAAAATTATTGGAGAATCGAATTGGAACGATATGCATAGAGGGCTGTGGTGACCGTAGAATTGGAAAGTAGCGGCTTGCCTATAGGCTGCGGTCAAACTAAGTTGTGTACTCCAGCGTCTGCAGCCTGAAGAGGATTTGTTTTGTGCCACTTGCCATTAAAGATTTGGTTTGGTAATTTTGATATATGGGACGGAATTCGATTTTAGCTTGTGGTGAACTTGAAATATACAGGGTGTAATTAATGTTATATATTAAAATACTGAATACCTTTTGACATAAGGAATAAAGGAAAAATATTTAAAAAAACATTTTTCCAAAGATAAAGAAAAAATATGCATTAGAAGTTTTTTATATTTTTTGTGATACGCCACTGGTTACACACGTGGTTTATCTCTGCACACTTGTATTTTGTGAGTACATAGATACCAACCAACAAAGTAGCTATGCGTTGCCAGATGTAAAAAATTGTTACTAAAAATTTTTCTTGCAAAAAATAAATAAAAACTCAATAAATACAAAAGTTTTATGCCCTTAAAGCTCTAATACCCTTCTGTATTTATTTACTGATCCAGCTATTAGCTTAAGCAATGATTAGAAAATTTAGTACCTTTGAAAGTTGAAACCACAAAATTAATTTTTTCATCAGTTTTTTTCTCTGTTTACTCAGATGAAATTGGGACCAGTTCACAGGTTAAACTTTAAACATTTAATTTGTGTAAATAAATCCAAAAGCACTTCCCTTAGTTAAGATATTTACAATTTGAAAACATAACCTAAAATTTAAAAGAAATGCACTAGATTCTGTCATAAAAGTTGGCAGATTTTGTTGGAATTTACCTTCAGTACAAAAATGATATAACCAACAATTAATAAAAACGCCAAATTGACAATTTGCATTGTTAATTTTGTCATTTTTTTAATTAAGCTAAATTTAAACAATGTTTGTCAACTTTTTTGAGAGATTTTGGAAATACTGTTGTTACCAACCATAACATAATAAATCCACCAGATTAACCTAAAGTTCCTAGTCGATCAGTGGCGTACTTTTTGGTAGGATAAAGGTTATTATAAATTATTTTTAGACTTTGGAATTTAGAAAAAAAAGTTTCAGGTGCTTCTTTATGGACCTTAAGGAACAACCCATTTTAATATATAACATTAATTACATAACACCCTGTAGTTTAACATGGTATTGCACAGAAATGTAAAAAATGATGGGATCTATTTTGTATGTTATGCAACTTATATTTGATAAATAAATGCTAAGTTCCCAACAAATACTTTATTAAAGTTTCCATAACACATTTCGACCATTCCAATCCTAACTTAAGTTGTTAGGCGTCTATGTCTGTGTGAAATAGCACATATGCTAAGTTGGGGAACATTTTGAAAAGTTTCTTTCATCTCAAAAGCAGTCTACACTACCAAAACGAAAGTGGACTCAAAGTTGAGTCTCGATATAGTTTTACGGCACAATGAAGTTTTGC